CTATCAGAGTTCTGCTCTCTGTCCTTAATTGCCTTGTAGGCCACATTCAAATCCTTCATCTTTATGCAATGCTGGAGAGCATCCAAGCTGTAAAACCACTCTGCCTCTAGCGTGCCGTGATCCTTCCCTGGATACCGAGGCTCCTTGTGCCTTTGCCTTTCCCTAGACATTGAATTAGTCCAGGACATCAGTTTGAATCCAGGTGAAAATGCAAATATGGCACAAGCATGGCTGGAAAAATTGCAAACAGTTCCAAGAAAGGCCGGTGGATTCTCGGTACCAGTTTCACAAATTTAGACTTCGCTTAAGTACTGGTAGACAGGCAGAAGGGAACTCGGTCACTGTCAGACTACAGTGGTTATTTACAAACAGAGACACAACTGATAAGGGCACTGTGTAAAGACAGGCATTTTAAAGAATGTCATTAGTGTATCACTGTCAGTTGTTATGTCTTCATTTGTGCCTCACTCAGTTTGATTTACTATAGAAATGACCACGACATCAGTATGATCAGTATTTTGCCAGTACTGTTGTCTCAGGAATGAGTGGTACCAACACCTCCCAACTGTAGGTTTTCAATATATATAAAGCATGCTATGATCCTTTATAGTTATATGTTGGCCAAAAGCCTTCACAGTACATTGGTACAAGACCCTCTGGTCCATGTAGATCACATCAGGATTGTCACAGAAACTGCACAGGTTCTCAGGTACAGTGAGCAGCAGTGCAGCACCATCTCCAGAGGAATATTAATTTTCATTTTGGGACTCAAAATGTCACAAGGAAACTCACAACCAAAGACTGAGATTTTACGTATCTAGTTAGAGCACCTAGAAGGTCCCTAAAGCTGCATGTATCTAAGTGGCCTGTTCAGCTTTCAGCCCCCAAGGTGCTGCTATGCAGGTGGTCTGTCCAGCATTAACTGCAGTGACATGGAAGACAAGGAACATGGGCAATCAAGTCTCCACCATGTCTTATGAGTTCTTCCTGGGTTGACCACATAGTGATGTGTGTGGACATGATCTTTTACACCCTTTAGAGCTGAGAATAAGCAATCTCCCCATCCTGTCCTACCTGCTTTAGTCCTTGTCCTTTCCCTCTCAGTCTGGGTGTCCTAAAATGTGTCATGTAGATTTGTGCTGGAAGCTTGATGACCTGCTACTTAGGAACAAGCCATACACCATTCACACCTGCCACATCAAAACTCTTCCCACTCATTCTCCACTCAGACCAGCAATTGGTGCAATAATGTTTCTATTCTCTGCAAATAAGGTGCTGCTGGAGAACAACTGGTGAGGAGCTGACTCTGTCCTGACTGCTTCTAGTCACTGCAGACAGTGCAGTGTGCTGATTCATGAACTTTTTTCATTCTTAATAAAAATAAGTCAGACAGCTTTTAGTACAGATTTGTGTGTTTGTTGCTTTTCTTAGTGTTTTTTAGTGTTCCTACCTTCTTGTTCAGTACAGTCAGTTCTCCTTGTGAGGAAATTTATGAAGAATTCTAATGAGGACCCACCTGAGTTCTATTAGAAACCTTGACTAAATTCTGCTTTGGCTGATGGATTTGAGCCTCTTCCTTTTATTTTCTTTCTCTCATAAAATTTTTAAAGCAGTATTTTCAGATGCCAGGTCAGGGAGCTGCAGACTCTAATGGAAGCACTTCTTTTATTTTCCCCGTATCTACTATTGCACTGCTCATGATGTGGCATTTTGCCATGTCTACAACAAGTTAAATATCAAGGAAATTTCCCTCTGCTACCATATAATCAAAGAGCAAGGAGATACAACACAGACTGGTCATGGCTTTGTACAGAGAAATATCACTGTACATTGCAGGTTCACTTGATTTAGATCTTTTCTAAACACTTTTTTTCTATCTGTGTGCTACTACAGAGGTAGCTGACACAGCATTATTGCAGGTAAGCTCTTGTTGAGATCCAAGCAGCATGGGTGTATCAGCAAGCTCAGAGCTAATTCCAAGTTTTACAGGTCTATGCATTGTACTCCACCATGCAAACAAAAAAAATGCCCTTTGTTGCCTGTTTTGCAGGAATAATTAAGCTAAAATAATTAATTTTGGGGAGAAAAGAAATCAAGCCTGAATCTAAGAAAGTCTCTGATAGAGTATGACGGAGTTGCCACCTGATGACATTAAAAATTACTTTGTTCCTCATTAAAGCAAATTAATCTTTGTTCATACAGCTGACCTGATAAGGTTATTAAAATCATTTATGATGTGTCAGTTCTGTAACTTACAATGTAATGCTAACTTAATGCAGGATCAGCCTTCTCTTAAAATTGAAATTAAATGTCTAGGTTTGTGAGATTATTTTTTTCTTAAATTACCAGGGTACCTCAAACATTGCTAAGTATTTCTGCTGCATAAAGGAATGCACTTAGCTTAAAATGTTATCATTCATGAAGGTGTATGGAAATGGGTCTTAATTTTCCATGCAGCAAGACTGCAGGCAAGGACAGTTTCATAGACCTTCATTTTGACCCAGTGTTGCTGCTCTGAGGTTCTCATGGTCAGCCCTTCCCCTGCCATTTTGGGGGATTTTTTTTTTAATTTTTCAATTAAATTTCAGATATCTCAGAATATTTTTTACTTGTTGAATACTATATAAAAAGTATTAGCACAGCTCTGTGATATGGGACAAATGGCCTGATTTGATCACTCAAGCTGGTGGAAAAGCTAAAGGCTGCGAGGTTTCCAGGAGGTTCAAAGAGAGTTACAGAAGCATCAGATTACTTTCAGTTGCATTCAGTCAATAAGCACTCTACTCCCTCCACCACAGCCAATTAACTCTACCAGGAAAATACCCTTCCTGAAAATTGTGTGTTTAGCTTAATAGTGCACTGCATTGAGTTGCAGTGGGTTGCTGAGATGGCAGAGTTATGGTGTAATATGTGCTAAAAGCTCATTTGCACACCCACAGAGGAGCTCAGAGAGACAACAGTGTGAGGGGGAGCCCAAAGAATGCCCTGCCCCAGCTGTTCCCATTGCAGCAGCCATCAGCCCAGAGGAATCCAGGGGCACAAAGTCAGGTGGGAACCTGAGTTAAGGACTAAAGAGGAAGGGACTCCCTGTTGGACCTTTCCCAAGGAGCACCTTGCTGCCCCAGCCTCTCCCCTCTTGGACTGTCAGACCCAGCACAATATGGTGCATCAAAAGTAGAGTAAGCCTCGGAGAAGAGTAGAAAGATGGGTAGTGTTTAGTATTGTAATTTTTCATTTCCTTCCCTTTGTGAGTTGCACAAAACTACTGCACAGCAAGTGATCTTGTTGCTCTACTCATTTTGTAGAATCTGAAACCTGGTGGTTGAGACGGGGCTTGGGGTGAGGTGGGAAATTTGAGGACCAACAGAGAGGGGAACAGAAAAAGCTGTATATATACTCTTGTGTGTGTGTACTAACTATAATCAAGCACTCATCTATAAAATATTCACCAATGCACAAAGTTTATGCATCAAATGCTTGTGGAACAGTGAGTTTCAGATACAAATAGTAGTGATTAAAAAAGAAAACACTTCCAAGTCTAAACATGATGTAGACACAATATATTTTAACTATATAGACAAACAGGACCTTCAAAAAAGCAGTCCTTCCAAAAGCAGTCCAAGATTGGAATTAACTGCTTTCTGTTGAGAAGAATATGAAAAGAAACCAAAAATATGCCCAAGGAGTAAATTAGTGTGTAAAAAAAATCCTTCTGTAGGTGACCTACTTTTAAAGATCATTGGGAATTTATATTCATTGCCTGTAGAGAGACAGGGTGGCCAGGGAAATGCTGCTGTGATGCATCCATGGAAATAGTGTTGGACTAAATTTCCTCATGGGCATAATTGCACTAAATTAAAAGAACTGATGTGAAGATCGAATATGATCCTGTGTTTTCATGTTTGAGCAAAAGGACCATAAAATGTTCATTTTAGTTTAACTCTCAAACAGAAGGTCTTTTGCAACATCCTAATTGCCTAATTCCTATTTTTGTTTTCTTTTCTGTGCGGTGAGATTTTTATATTCCTTTTATCAGCAGAAATATTTTACCTTCTGCAAGGGGAAAAAACTCCACAAACTATCATTAAATCAAATCAATCATATTTTACTAGATTTATGTTTTCTTCTTTTGTCAGTGATACATAGATACATCTAGAGACATAACTAGTGGAATATTTTATCTATTTGGAGATGAAGTTTTACCCCCTAAGGCTGTACAATTCTTCAGTGTCAGGCAACCGATTTATATTACTTTTGTGTGTAATAGTTCTACAGCCAAATCCTTTTGATTGCCAGGACATCTTATTCAGGCTCCATTTCTCTTATGTGGATTTGACTTTATTTTTGTATACTTCAAGGTATGATGGATTGATACCTTACACAGTATGAAACCTATAGAATACAACAATGAATATGTTTACAAGTGGCTTTATTCATTTCTCCTTTCAATGGAATTTATATTAACATTGCATGGTATATATTTGCAATTATGTTTTTGACCATGAAACTTAAACAACTCTGAACTCCCAGCAAAAGCATCTTCTGTACAATAGTGCTTTTGCAAAATGTCATTATTGTACATGGATTTTTTTTTTTTTGGTAGCGGGATCATTTTCTGACATCAAAGCCTCTCAGGCTGACAATTATTTCAACAAATGGAATGATTTGGATACACCACTTGAACTGCATGAGGTAGAAAAGTAAATTTGAAACAGAAATGTGTCACTTTTCTTTATGAGAAAAGGTTCTATCTTTGTTCTCAATATGATCGTTGGAGTGAAATGTTATTTGTAGTGTATCTCCTCTTTCACAAGAGCCTGTGAGAGCGTTCACTGAGCTAATCTTAATCTTCAAAACGAATGCTTCTGATGGGAGGCTACTTTACAGGAAGTGTGACCTCATTCGGTCTCTGTGTCGCTGATTGCACAGGGCTGTTTTCAAAAGGAAACAGGGGACTTCATAACCTGCCTTTCCGAAGAGCCAGAGCTGATCTCTCCCAGGAAGCTGCCAAAGGAACACCCTCCACAAACCATCAACAGGCTCTCGGGCTGATCATAAGAAACTTTTTTGCACACATTGTGTTAATTGTGAGATGGATTTTCCAGGTTTGGAAGATTTTAGACTTATTTATCTCTTAATAGATTTGTCAGCTGAGGAATAACTAAGCTTTGGATTCATTTCTATGCTGCTCTTCAGGAAGTTTTGTGTTCTTGTGAATGTTGTTATCATTACCTGCAGGGAGAAAAGACTAAACTGCTCTTCAAAAATAACTGATATGTGTGAACAAATAAAACTCTCTTTGCAGACACTTGTGTTTGATAGGTACAATGGAATAAAACTGGTTGCCTGGGCTTCAGCTATTTTGATAGTTAGCACTATATTTTGGCAGGTACTAATGTAAATATTTAGATTGTAAACTGATGGCATCATTGGCTTGAACACTGATTTTTGGAGGGAAATATATTTAAAACTGACTGGCTTGGACTGTGACTTTTTGTTTATATTATAACATGAATTTTTATGTGTTTTGAAATTCAAGGGGAGTTGTTGCCTTAAATTTTTATTTGAGTTCTTTATATAAAATATTACCACATTCACCTCAGATTCACTTTTAATGAGAGTTCATAGAGCTGTTGGTCTTTTCTCATGCCATAGTTTAAAAGTTCTCTGTTGATGGCTCATTTTGTGGGTTACAGATACAATACTAGTGCTTCATTGTGCAGTGGTGGTTGAGATGCTTTGTTTTGGCTTGCTTATGTCGTTACTATAGCTTCTCACGCTATTAATAGCCCAAAACTAGGACTGAATATTAAATGAAAGCAGAACACTGTGCAGCATTGTCTAAAACATGATGTTTCCATGTTTTCTCCATCATTGATTGAATTATGATTTTCAGGAACTCTTTCATTATTCATGAGACAAAAATTTTCATGATCAAGGGCAGCAAAAAAATCTGTTGGACTGCCTGTTCTACGACTGTTCACAGAAGCTTGGTATTATCATTACTTAAAACAGTTTGAAAGCAAATTACAACTGCTTATTAACTGTTCTTGAAAAGAGGGAAATTCATCACCTCCCAGTAATATAATTGCATGTGTATATTGCTCACTGTCTTTTATAAATAGATGTATATACTCTATTCTATCTTGAACTTTATTTCTGTGGAGGGTGGTGGATAAACAAGCATCCTGCAGAGACACACCTTGCAAAGTTATGAAACAATTCAAATGAGTAACAGAAGGACTGTGGTTTGTTCTGCCACTGCGATCACAGTGTGTCAACACTTTCTAATGAAAGCACTACCCATATGAAAGCTGCTACTCTTAGAAGTTATTCTTTTTTAGCGGTTGCTACTTTATATTATCATAACTGAAACAATCACATGCAATACAGCTGTGTTGTGGGTTTCAGTTGCTGGAAAGTTTTGCTCAGATCATTAGAGGGTTGTAGTAGGTAAAACTGATCATGAGATACGCTTCTATATCCCTTTTCAAACAAATTTGCTCTAGAATCAATCACTTTTGCCTGAGAATACATCTTACAGATTCTAATTTTCAAACAAGGCAAAATGAAACATACTTATGTTTCTTTTAAAAGTCTTTTCCAGATAATCTATATTCCCTGTTAACCGAGGGTGTATGAAACAGTCCTTTTCAAGATGTATGGACTATCACATGTTGCACTGACACCAGGAGCAAGTAAATTTGGGCACATTTGTCAGAGCTTTTAATAAAAAAAAATCTTGTGGAGGGGATCTTGTTTGACTGATAAGATTTGCGATTTTGCTGGGTTTAGTTTATATCCAGATCTACAAATTACCTGTTGAGTTCTTCCTGTATTTTCTTTTAGAGTTTGGATGGATTTCTTGGTTTTTAATACAATATTTTTGCTCCTTTAAAAATCATGATTTTGCCTAAAATAAGAGAAATTATTTCAGAAGCTAGTTGTATGTGAAAAACAGTAGCTCTATGTCAGACTATGAAAGACACCACCGCTCTCACTGTTTGTACAACTTGCTCTGTGGTGTTCTGACTGATGGTACTTGATCTCTCTGTACCTCCACCAAATTTCTTCCAGTAGTCTCCTCCTTTTGGAAGCATTAGAGCATAATTTTTGCATGGTAAAGTGATTTTTTTAAAGGGTAGGAGAAACAGTATGTATGGGAGCAGGGCAATAGGACTGATTTGTAATAAATACCCTGACAGTTTTACTTCTCTTTTTTGGTGACCCTTCCTGGTCCCAAGGGTGTGACTGACAACTGAACTCCAAATGAGGATAAACAAGATTACCAAAGTGGAAACACTGACTTTAGTGTCTTTTCTTTGCCTCAGCTCATAACTGAACATAAAAAAATAAAATTCTCTTAGATTTATCTCCTCTAGGAGGTGAATGATGGACACTTACTAACAGTGTTGTAAGTCTGAAGCTCTAAAGATATAGAAGAAGCAAGGTAATATAGAAGCAGATCATATCTTTTATCTTTTCATGTAATAACAGATATAAATTTTCCCTATGGATAGCCATTGCACATATTTCCTAAGATTGATTCTGTCAGGTGCTGAACACCCAGCAGCACTTTGCAGGCTTGAGCCATGGTAATCCAGACAAATCCTATTTCCTTAGTCTCCTGCCACAATATTACTGTCAAATATTTGTCACTGTCACAATCCCTGTGCCTGTTGTGCTATGTCTGCAATTTTCATCTGAAAATATAATGTAATGGTAACAGTGTCCTTTCCATTCTATTCTGTATCTATTGCCAGTACCTGTACTGGTTTTGGCATGAAGCAGATCTCTGGTAAAACACCATTAAAATTACTGCAGTTATTGTATATGTGCCCACAATTATTTCTCTGAAGTCTGTAATCTGTGCAGAGCACAGGTATCTAATTTTGGTTGCCTCTGATTCTGTGTTGTCCTGATTCAGATGAGTTTCTTATAAACACTATGTCTTTCCCCCATTCTTTCATCTGTTTTATCTCCTTTAATCCAACTATTCATTTCCTTTTCATTTTTTAGCTTTTTTATGATCTTTCTGATATACACAAGGTAGCAGCCAGTGAATATGGTAACGACTCCTTCATATTTCACCTTTGCCTCTGCAGGTTCAACAGCATTTAATGGAGAGCATAGACGCAGACTCTCACAACGTATTTTTCTAAGGTACTGAGGAAAGTCACACTCGCTTAATTTTACTTTGTTGTAGATTTTGTAAAAATACCTTTTGGGCCACTTAGAATTGTAGTGCCGATATTAATTTAATTACTGCTTTAAATGGAAGTTCAGAAGTACTGCTGTGGAGGTTGGAAACACTGGCTTTGCAATTACAGGGTTTTGGAGTATCTCTCTTCCATCTGCTTTTCCCTACACTGAAATTATGGTATCACTCTCTGACATGCCATATGGGATAGTTAAACCTGCTACTGAAAGGCAGGTCAGACACTGAATCAATCCAGTGTCTTCCTTTCTTTCAAAGATGTCACTGCATGGCAATTTGGAACTTGGAGGTGTTGAGAAGAAAGGACTAACCATAAATCCAATTTTACTTAAACTAAGTAAAATGTCTATGACATTTAGATTCTTTCACCTCTGTCACTACTTACTTCTATTTTAAATACCACATAGTATATTTTTCTGTGCTAAATTTTATCTCAGAGTCAATCGTGTTTCAGTGCTGGATGAAGTTATCACCATGTGTAGACTTTATGTCATGTTGTTCTAGCTGCATGGTATTCTAGGATTTGTGAGAGTTAAATGTATCCTTAAATCTTCTCCAAGTATGGCTAGGCTATAAAAGAACAAAAAAATCCTGTCTGTTCAGAGGCACCCAGCTTGTGCCACGTAGAGTAACTCAGAGAAGCAAAATACTGGGATGCCTCTGATGGCCCCAGATAGGTGTAGGTGTGGCAGGATTCCTTGGCCAAGAGCGCTGCCACAGAAACACACCATGCACGTCTCAGCTCAAGCTGGCTCCACACAAGCATGAAATGCTCCTCTGGCATGTATCCCTCCTGTAATCTGAAGCTCTGGAAAGCATGAGGCAGGCACACTTCAGCTGGATGAAACCCCCTGGTACAAAATATCATTACATACATATATTTTAAACCTATGTCATTACCAGCCTGCATCAACTGCGAATGCAAATTCATTGCTATTAAATGGTGGGTTTGCTCTGTCTAGACCTTCACTAAATTAGAAGCTTTCATTTCTCCTTTTCAGTTGTGCTTGTGCCTTTCTGGACGATCATCCTGCCTATGAGTGTTCCACAAGCCCTCTGACAGGCTCCCTTTCCCCAAGTCGCCGCAGCCCTCGGCTGCTTTCTAATGGTTATTACGTTTTGACAGAAGACAGTTTTCTGTCTGATGAAGAGGGCAACGTAACACTGACACCAGCCCACACAAGAGTTACATATAAAGAGAATTTAATTCGGTAAGTGAACTATGTGCAGATTTTACTCCGTGTTGGCAACTGCCTCCACCTCTCTGGCCTTATCCAGAGGTATCTGTGTCTGTCTACGTTCTGCTTGGTGTAAGATCAGCATTGCTTCTGAATGGGAACATCCCGGTTGCTTTAGTTTAGAGGGTGCAGTGATTGAAATAACCTGATTTTCAGTCATGTCTTACTACCCAAAAACTCTTCAGTACACACTTGCTGCTATAATTGAAGTTGTTTCCAATAGCGAAAAAGGAGAGCTACAGCTCATTTTGCCAATGGGGTGTTGCTCTGAAAAGGACCAAGAAAAAAGTACATATAAATGTCTATATATCTATATCTAAAAAACACACGCACAAACATACATATATATACAAAATAAAAAGGTCTTGTCCTGGAATTCTTACACAAGGAAAAATCTCTGTTGATTTCAGAAGAACATCAGTTTAGCCAGGTATATAAAATGTAGTTCAAAAAAAGTTGAAGTTCAATGAATTCATATGGCAGGGTGAAACTCATGAGTAGCATGAGACACTCACAGCAGTATCTGAGACCAGTAGCTGTGATATCATTCAGTATCACAGATTCCAGTATCACAACAGCACGATGTGCCCTCCTGCCAATACATTCTCTGACATACTGTGGTGTGCAGGAGTAATTCCTAGTGACACACCCAGGGGAAAGAACAGGGCTAGGAGTAGCACCCAGAACCTGGTTCTTTCATGTCCTTCCTGCAAGTTTTAGAGCTCAGCAAGAATAATTAGCTCTATTCCTTTTTTCCTTCTAGTGTATTCAGGCGAAGGAAGAAAATCCGTCGCTCTCTTGACAGCTTGTTCAACCTCAGTGCCTCCAGCTCATGGCTCAGCTCCACCATTCCCAGCAATATGGATTCCTCCCATGTAGATGATCCTTGGCCTGATGGATGCAGTAAACTAGAAGCCAGTCACAGCGATATTGGTAAGCCCTGATCAGGTACCAGGTAATCAAACTACAATATTACAGACTGTATTTAGTGGGACTTTGGGTATCTCTTTTTGTAAGTTCTGTGGGGGTTGTCTGCCAGGATGTGCAGATAAAGGATAGATGCTCAACAGAATTCAAAATGGGGAATGAAGCTCCTGGCACTAAACCAGCACATGAGTTTGTAAAGACTTTTGTTCCAAAGAGGCATTTTTAAGCTCAATTTGAATCCAAAGTCATCATCAGTACTGTTTATTCTGGTGTGATTAATATCTGGCACTGTCTGCTTTCACCTGGGTCTTTCAATAACTTCATCATGTTATACTCTATGCAGTTTTGTCTTTACTCTGCATATCTTCTCCTGCATACATTGGACCTGCCAATTCCCTACCCATAACAATTTGGGGCCCCTCCTGTGATTAAGCAATTAACTCCCTCCCTAGTTCATTAACACAAAGTCTCAAAGCTCTTCTTTTGTGCAATCACAGTTATATGTGCACTTTTTGTAGGTGATTCAGACTTTTCTTATGGATATAATAACCATGTGTCACAAAGGCAAATTCCAGCACATAATGGAGCATCTCTCACCAAAGATGATGAGTTTCTTCAGTCTGAGAAACCATTTAGTGCTTCAAAACCCCTCTCACCATTTATGATAAATGCAAATGAAGAAACCTTGAGCAATGGAGGTATGTTGCGTTCTTATTCTGACATGCCTCATTTTTGAGTGACCTGAAAATACTCACATTAAAAATATGGATCTGGTCCCTTGCAAAATAGAATTTATTCCCTTAAACATATATTTTAAATGAATTATTAAAATTAACAAAATATTAAAATTGTTATTTACTTGTTTACTCCCTTCTGCTTACAGCTTTTCCTCTCCCATTTTTTGTAAAAAAAAAAAAAGTGGAGCGAAGAGGAAAATGGAGGAAAGGGCATGGGAACAAAAACTGAAACGGGCAATTATGCAGAAAAGCTTGTTTTCTGAGAGCATGGAGGGCATAGTGTCTCTGTGGTTGTGGGGGAAAAAGACTCCTGAGAGACACCCAGAGCATGAAAATTAGGTTTCTGCTTTGAATTACTCTAGGCAAGTTCTCTTGAAAAGGAACTGAAGAGACTGGTCTCACAGGCTGAAGGTAGTCTTTCAAAACACCTCCTGTCATATATTTACTTTCCTGAAAACTCATTAAAATTATTTTTCTGATTTTTATTTTAGAATCCAGGACAGTGCAAAATGTCGTTTCTCAGATGGTTGCATTGATCATGTGTTTAATCATTTCAATATGTACAAGGTAATTTTTATTTCTTTTATTTGCTGTTTCTGACATTAGTAGTTATTCCATTTCAACTGGTGAAAAAAAAATTAAATTAAGGGTCACATTTTCAAAGTTCCATATATCTTTTTGTGAAAATCTATTTTCACATGATAGTCGATGCAGGCAATTATCTGAACTATATAGATATGCACAAAAATAAGAAATGTATGCAGATATGAAAACCACCTTTCCAAGTGTGTTTGGACAAGGGTTTTGGCAGGCTGAGAAGAATCGGAATGCATCCATGTCTTTTTAAGTGGATGTTTCAGTCTGGGAAAGCTGAGATCTTTCTTTCTTGGAGATTATCCTCAATTGTTTACGCAATTTAAAAAGTTTCAAATTGCAGTTCACCTACCAGAGTTCAGAAGGTTCATCTGCAAAAACCTTCTCTCCTCCTCCCACCCAGGCTTCAACTCTTTTAACCCAATATGCATCCTGTGGCTTTTTCTAAACTTTCTGGATAATTTTATGCTTTCAGATATTTTCTGGGAGGATTGCCTGCCACTTTATTGCTGATAACTTTAGTTTGTAAGTATAGAATTTCTTTATATACAGCACAGAGTTTTTTTACTAAATAAGAGGGAGTTTCTATTGAAAAAACATCCAAGAACCAAAATCCATCCTTGGATGTATATCCATGGCTCTTACTGATGCCAGTAAGAGCAGTATGTGGGCAAAGGGGCACAGAAGGCAACCTTTAATCTATTAGAGGATTTTGCATTTGAATTTCCCAGGTCTTTTGTCTCAAGATGCTGCTGTGTCATCTTTCTTCAGTCTTGACACTTCTTTCAAAACCACAAAGTTTTGGTAAGTGGCTCCAGTGTCATGTGGTGAATAGGGGAATTTAGAAGTTTTATATTAAGAAGAGGAAGGAGAGATTCCTGCTGTTGTTTTCATGTCAGAAGAGAGAAGACAAGGTCTGAAGTTACTGTTGGAGTATTTGGCTTTTCCTGTTACTGATTTGTATTCATAGAAACTTTCTGTTTATTTTGAAAACTTGCCTTTTCATAATGTGCAACAAATTTTGTAGCACCTATTTGTTTGCAGAAAAGGAAGATAAACCTAATATGTCATAACACAGACAGAGACAGACCAAGAAGAGTAACTTACGAATCCAGAGATGTGCTGTCAAGCCTTGCACTGAAGTCCTTGCACTCTCAGGCCACCAAACAGAGCCTTTTTTTTTTTAACTGGGAAAAAGTAAAACCAGCTAATTATGATGCCAGCCCCATCACCACCTTCCAGGGACTACAGAATTGACATAAGTTGGGCTCACTAACCCAATGCACCATTAGATTCAGGAGAGCTTTTCCTTTGGCTGATACTGCAATCCGAAAAATGTCTTAGAAAGAATTTAATCAGTCCGATCAGTTGAATAAAGGCACAGGTGTTGCTGTTTCAGACTGCATTATTTCTGTGTTTCAAGTGTTGCACAGAGCTGTAGCTTTAAATCCTTCTGGAGAAAAATTCTTACATGTTTAGAGGGTTTGAATTATATCTTTAAATGAAGCTCACACATAGGCCTTCATGCTGAAAGCACATATGGATGTGCTCGATTTATGAATTACCGTTCTTTTACTTCTTATGTATCAGAAAATTCTAAAGGTCTAAAATCTAAAATGCTGTTAAGACTAAAAAGTTTGGGCTTATCTGAATTTTTATGGGGTGAAAGTGAAGCTCAAGAGGATCTTATTGTTTCTGACACTGTCAGTGTTCAGGAGTTCAGTGTATCCCAAGGGCAAAAAGATAATCTGACAGACCTTTCAGCCTTTGAATTGAGTATGTTGGAAGTGAGAAACAGCAAGGCATAGCTTGGAGAGCCATATTGCAATCATAGTCTCACTTTTTGACCACCCAAGGGTCTTAGCACACCACCCTGGATACTGAAGGATGTTACTTCCCACTTTTGTACTATGTAATTAGTCCCTAAAACTTTGGTTTTACCAAGGTCACCACGTTAGGACCAGTGTGTTTCAAACACATTCTCCAAAGTGCTTTCTGTCTTCCTGAATAGTTTAGCCCTGAGTCATAAACAAAGCTGTTCTTCACAAGAGAAAAATAAACACACTCTGAGAGCTTTTCAGCCACAGGTATACAGAAAATAACCTCTTTTATGCTCATCACGAGTGAGAAGTTACCTGCTCAAACAAGTAGTCCTACAACTGAACTAAATTTGTCAAACAGGGCCTACAACATATACTGATTATAAGAATCTGTGGTTTAAATCAAGACATACAAAAACTTATTATATTTTTCCCCCAGAGAATACAGTAAGAAAGAAAGACTCATTGGTGAGTATATGTTTAAGTGTAGAAAGAATTCTATCTTTTTAGGGATGAGCTCTATTATGAGACAGGGTTCAAGCAGGGTTCAGAAAGGTTCCATGGACTTATCATTAAAAGGTTTAGCTGCAGGACCTTTGCAGTTTCCACTGAAAATTACTCCACTTTGGTGTCTACAACTCCTTTTTTACTTCATTTGGATTAAGTATTTTTTTAATTGTTTGACAACAGTGGCTAAATAGTGTAAGCTGTTAACAATTGCTGTGCTTCAGCCCAGAGAAAACATGGTTTTTAGTTACAGGCAAAACAAGTCTTCCTTTCTCCAAGTTTGAACTGAACAGCAGGACCAGGTGCTGTGCTGCTCTGAGTCGGTAGCATTCCACGGAAGCAGTGAAGCAGCATCAACATGAATCAGTGCAGAATATCTGAAAACACTTACAGATTCTTCTATTCCCTATCCTTTTTCACTAAAGCCTCATGCTCAGACTCCAGTTTCTGTTTTTCAAGCATTATTAAGCCTTGCTGCAGCTCAAACCTTTAAAACAGGAGCACTGATTTACTTCCACTTGGAGTTGGCCATCCCAGTCCTGGCTCCATTATTTCCTTTATGTCTTTACTTTATAAGGATAAAAATGAAAAGAAGGAATTAAGTGGGGCTGTGCCCGGGTTTGTGTTCCTTACAGTGTGGATAGAGCAGCTTGGTCATCAGTTTCCTGGTTGAGTGCAGTTCAGCTTCTGAGATCTAAAGGCATCTGCACAGCTGCAGACACAACCTGAAAAACCTTGCAGTCAGCCCTCAGAAGGAGTGTGTTAATCCTGAGAACAGCATTTTAGAAAGGAGTGCAGGCATTTGATCACTTTGCAGACTTGTTAAAGCCTATGGTTAAAATGACATCCTATTCACAGTGTGCCAAGCTGTGGACGCTACATATGACACTTCTTATAGTCAGTGGAGCTGTTCCTGTAAGGGCTGTAACACCAGAGCTTGAGAGCTGACTCTGATTTTGAAAGCCAGTATCAATGTTAACCAAAGCAGGTACTACAGGATGGAGTAAAGAACTTGGCACTTGTTGCCTAGCAGGAGTAAACTCAATACAGACTGTCATAGGTTACTGTGAGACAGGAGCTCCCACTGTTCAAAGTAAGCTTGTCTCTTGCATTTCATAAAAACTTAAAAGCAGAGTTTTTACTTTGGTATATTTTGAAATGAGTTCACTAAAAGTTTTCATTTTTCCTCCTCCTCAAATTTATTTTCCTCAGCTCTTCAGCATCAAACTCCTGTATACCTCCTTATGGCCATTGTTACACATGTTCCTGTGGAAAAAAATCCAACCAGAATTGTTAGTATTCTTCCTCCAAATACAATTCATTTTAGCTTTATTTTTATTCTGGTCAAATGTGAGTGAGGCCATACTTCTTGGTGACTGAAAGCAGCCATGCAAAATATTGCTGTACATATAGTCTCTTATGTCAATGAAATTCTGTGTAGACATGTGGACTACAAGCATTTTGACAATAAATTGATAGTAAAAAGTGTTTTCTAATCCCCATGAAATAATTTTATTTATAAAAATTCATGTTATCCCATATTTTATCTATACATTTCTTGTAACAACATGCTGTCAAAGACAATGGATTTGGACAGTGGCTGAGTACATGTAATAATATATTTCAGAAGCTTTATTATATCATGTATATGAACTGCCTTTTGGCCTTTATGCCGAGCATTAAGAAGAGAGGAAAAAAAAGAAAAAGACAAAAGAAATATTACTGGAAGGAGAGCACTCTTCAGAAAACCAGGAATCAGGATGTGGAAAAGCAATGACGAATCTGCATTACCTGGAATCATGTACCAAAATGCGAGACTTGTAGGTATTAACTTTGGAAACACTGAGCCCTGTTCTTCAGCTTGTATCTTTGCTACAACAGACTAAACTACAAATAGAGCCAAAACCTGTTATCTTGTGACTCCTAATAATCTGCTTCTTAAAATATCTCCCTGTGTGCCAGTTTATCTAGAACAGCGTGGACTTCGTCTGCCCGTGCAACAAAGCGATGATAATGTGCGAAGATGCTGTTGCCCACCAAATCATTCTGTAACTCCTCTTGCTTCTGGTCTCCTTGTCCCCTGGTGTGCTAAAAGCGGTGCTAGCACTGATTTGAAATGCTGCCTGTGGAAGGGCTGGGTCTGCCCACGAGGTACAATCAGGCTGGCAGGCAGAATGACAGGGATTCGAAAACTGCAGCAAAAACTGTACAAGCGACAGGTTCTGGAGGAAGAAAAAACCAACATAAGTAAAACACCACTGTCTGTCCAACACCGTGTCTAAGCCAAACTCAGGGAGGTTATAACTATTTCTAGCATCAAAAATCCAAACAAATGATGCAATGAGGAAAAGAGTAATTGAAATTAAAATGTACATTTCTCTTCCAAAGGGTAAGTATATGCTGGTTATATTTTGAAGATAAGCATCAATAACTCAGCATTAAGAGCTTAAAGAGTGAAATTTCACCCAAATTACCAATTTGCATAGTCAATTCACTTTATTCTAGTCCATTAAATTGACTGCATGAAGACAGACCATTTGATATAACAACACCAGGAATAAATGGTGACAATGGAATGTTCTTCATAAAAATGATGTATTATGTAACTAAAACAGTATTTATAATATCCTCATTTTTACTTGCAGTTAATGCAGGTGAAAAATTTTGTCAGTATTAAATAATTCCTCTTCCTTATTTAAACCACGGAGACAACTGAGAGTAAACATGATTGAGTAAAATCTATAAATATTTTGTTACCTATTTTATGACTACTTATAAAAGGTCCATTACTAAATGCACTTTTAGAACTAAAGAATTATAAAAGTCTTTAGTGTTTAAATAATCTCCTGGAATAATAATCTGGAAAATCAAATCCCATATTGAGAGAAAAGTCTAAGATTGCAATTACTCTACAGTCATCAAAGCAATTATGCTGAAAACTAGAAAAACAGAGTCACTGTAAACTAGTTAATTCCCTGTAAACTAGTGAAGAAAAAACTGACTCAGACTGAAAAAAAAATTGGTCTAAAATGAATTGCTATAATCTATCTATTAATAAATACAAACTGTAAATTAGAATGGTTTTGATCTGGAGAGAAGGAACTTCAAGAGCAATTTCCCAACTGGAGTTCAAGAGCTAAAAATAAAATGCTCAGGATCTCTTAAGACCTGCCCTCCATGACATTCATTAATGTTGAATTAACAAAGTTCTGTTCAGATACCAAACTGGTTGGCTGTGAGAGTTCCCTTCCACATATTCCAATGGACATAAACACAGGCCTCACCTGTTTTCTCTGAAAAGAGGCACAATTATACGTTCATTCCTGTTGGATCAAAAATTGAACCCAGGGTCTGCCTGATGAAAAAGTGAAAACAACGTTTTGCAGCCTCTATGTTTAAATTCAGACTTTCAGAGGCAATTAGTATTTGCAGATTCTGTTAACTAACTGATAATTGTGAAACGTAATTCTAGCAAAGTAAAACAACTTATTGATTAATGATTAACTGACACATCCACAAACAGAGAAAACAACGAGAATTTCATGGTTTTCTCCCCAGTGATTAAACTGTTACTCCACTTTACCATAGCACATTATTTAGAAAAAGAGAATCAAATAGAAATTTCAAGATACAGATTTATAACTCTCTGTATATTACCTCAAACCATTTATTACTTTTTTAAAATTTATTTTTGTCATTACACGTTGTCTTACACTTCCTTATTTCTTGCTGTGTTCAGCTGAATTTCAGGGTCATTCCTGAGTATATATCATGTAGTGCTTTATAGTGGGAATGTTCATGTTGAAGATGATAATATTGATGGCTTCTCTTACCTTATAATGTTCCTAGTCCGTGAGCAGGTCTGGTTTGTAGTTATCATGAAAGCATTACTCATAGAAGCCAACCCACACAAGGATAACATCTTTTATTTAAGTGATGTGGAATAAACCACACTGGTACAGAATACAGATTATGACCATTTAGTCCAGTTCTGCAGAGTCTGCTCTTTGATGTAGGTTTTTGTGAACTGGCTGCACTGTTTTTTTGACCTCTTTGCACATTTTAATATACACTGAGCAAAACTGTTACTTCATTTTATATTGAGGAGGGTTTTTTAATGGTTTCTCATGATGCTTTTCCCCCCTATCTCTGGCATTTCCATATCAGTACAGTTGTTCTTGTTCTCATTTATTCCTGTGTTTGAGGGTGTTGTCAGTAATGCAGATTATTATCATTAGGAATTTCATATATCTCAGTGAATTTCTTATTTGTGAGCTTATGTCCTGCCCTGTAGATTGTGTGCTCTTTGGGGAAGGATTTATTGGTACTTCTGTGCAAACATAAAGCCTTGGTTTGTTATACCATGGTGATAAGTTACTTATCACCATAGAAAAATAAAATAATAAGTAATATTTTAAAAATCAGTAATTTAATAGGAAATAAATAGAAATATATAGGTTCAGATTCTGAGTGGGTATCAATCAGCTGATTTACACCAGCTGAGACTCTGAGCTGCAGCATTTCAACAGCTAAAATTCAGCCATGGATATCAATTTGCTGGGGTTGTAGCACCTTACCTGAGTATATACTGATGGAGCCAACACATGTTCAAAATACTTCTGATGCACTGTAATAATAATGCTATAAAGCTTAATTTTGTCATGACATAGAAACATATTTTATATTGCATTGTTTTGTGCGTTTGACAAATAAAGTTGTAATGTATTAAAGCAGTAAACTGAATTTCTTCAGGAAAGGCATGCCAGATGTGACCCTTTTTCTTCCTTCTCTACTCCATTCTTCTGTTTGAAATGTGGGTCATTACATTATCTCTGGCTTCATGCTAATATTTCAGGCTTGTGCTATTTGAAGCTCTTAGTACATAATTTGAGTGAAAAATAACTGTGTGAAAATAGTGAACACAAAAAAACCCCTACTTCAGCATCTTGCTTTGCCCTACGTGTGCCAGGCCACCAGGTTAGGACCAGTGTGTTGCAAACACATGCTCCAAAATTCTGCTTTCTGTCTTCCTGAATAATTTAACCCTGAGTCATAAACAAAACTGTTCTTCACAAGAGAAAAATAAACACACACTGAGAGCTTTTCAGTCACTGGTGTACAGAGAATACTTCTTTTGTCTTCAAAAACTTCTCACAAGTGAGACGTTACCTGCTCAAACAAGTAGTCCTGCAGCTTAAGTAGACTTGTCAAAGAGGACCTACATCTATACTGATTAAAACAAACCATGGCTTCACTCAGGACATAAAGGTAAAAGGGTTTGGAGTGAAGATGATCTGGGAAGAAGGAAGGAATAAAAGAGGGTGGGTTTAGAGTTGTTATAATTTCTCACTATCCTACTCTGTTTAATTGCCAGTAAATTAAATTAATTTCCCCAAGTTGAACCTGTTTTGCCTATGATGGTAATTGTTTTGTCATGTTCCTGTTCTTATTTCAATTCATGATCTTCTCCCCCTCTTCTGTTGAGGCTGGGAAGTGAGACAACAGCTAGTGGGCACCTGGCAAGGCCAACTCACCACACCTTACTAGTTGGCAATTTATTTAACTGCATATTGTATATTTCTTTCCTCAGAACTATCATACAGAATCTGAGCAAAAGGGATGAACACCCTCCCCCCTTGTTTTTAGAATAACAAAATAACATAGGTACTTCCATGTAATACAATGTAGCACTTAAAATACTGTACACAGCAAGAACAAGTTTTTTTCTTCTTCTACTTATTGAAATTGATTACCTTGATTGTGATCTCTGCTCCCAAGTAAAGAATTAATAGTACTAGCAAAAGGAGTAGCTATAAAAGTCCTTATTTGAAGAGGCCTGCAATTTGATATGAACCAGCAGGTAGTGGAACCAGCGGCCCTCCTTTAATCTCTGTGGCTCTGTGGAGGGGCCTTGGGATACAGCGGTGACTCCGGTCAGCTGTGTAAACATCCCTGTCCTCGGCATGGATTTGATACTCAGCCAGTCAGACAGGCCTGCACAAATACTATGCAGTTATAATAAAGTGCATAAACTACTTCTCCTCCTTTGTGTCTCATTATCTCCACAAAACTCAGTAGCTTGAACTCAATGACACCTTCGTACTCCATTCTCTAATCCACAATACAGCAAGAAAGTTACAGAGTGGCTGTGGAGAGCTGCATTTACATCAGAGGCAAATGATTTAATAAATGAATTTGATAATTCTTAGAAATCTTACAGCCTTATTTAAACTTACACGTGACTTTCCTGTTAGTAGAAGGTGACCTTTAGGTTTGATTAGACCTTTAGGTTAACGAAGACCTGTGTTAGCAAAGAGGTAGGAACTATGGAGTGACTTTGCTGCTGTTTCCCCTTTGATCTGATGACAGCTGTGATCAGGAATTGGAATAGGCTGCCCAAGGAAGTGGTGGAGTCACCATGTCACCATCCCTAGAGGGGTGGAAGGACGTGTAGATGTGGCACTTGGGCATATGGTTTAGTGGTGACTTGGCAGTGCTTGGTTAACAGGTGGATTTGGTGATCTTAGAGGTATTTTCCAACCTGAACAGCTCTCGAAGATTCTAAAATTCTATGATACTATGAACACGGGAACAGGCAGCTTCCATAAACATGCTTTCAGCCGCAAATGCGTGAGGCAGACTGGCTGACGAACACGCAGGAGGAGGAAAAAAGTGTCATAGAAAGGACAGACGTGAGATTTATGCCTGCGGAAGAGGTACCTCTATTGAGCCTTCCCAGACGAATAACGGGGGCAGGAGCAGCGGTGAAACTCTCGTATGTTTGTACAAAAGCCTGGGCACCTCCCTCAGCGCCGCCCGCCCGGGCCCGTTGCCGCGGCAGCGCGGCCGCGTCCGGTAATGGCGGCGGCGGCGGCGGAGGGGCGGCCATGGTGCGGAGTGAGTGTCAAAGAGCCGCGTCCCTCCCCTCCCCGGCTCCTTCCCTCATCCCCAGAACCTGCCCCGCGCCCTGGACACCTCCTTCGTGTCCACAGAAGGGCAGCGGAGCTGGGGAAAGGTCTGGAGCACAACTCTGATGAGGAGCGGCTGAGGGAGCTGGGGGGGCTCAGCCTGGAGAAGAGGAGGCTCTGGGGGGACCTTATCGCTCTCTGTAATTCCCTGAAGGGAGGTTGTAGTGAGATGGGGGTCGGTCTCTTCTCCCAGTAACAAGTGACAGGACGAGAGGAAATGGTCTCAAGTTATGCCAGGGTTTAGATTAGATATTAGGGAAAATTTCTTCACTGAAAGGGCACTGACTCCCCAGGGAAGTGGTGGAATCACCACCCTGGTGGTATTTAAAAGGCACATGTATGACACTTTAGGGGCATGGTTTAGTGGTGGATTTAGTAGTACTGGGTTGGTCTCGATGATCTCAAAGGTCTTTTCCAACCTGAACGATTCCATGATTCACGTTTCCCCTTCCCTGCCATTCCCACACTCCCCTGGCTGCCCCCTCCCCTCCTGCCTCCCTCGCTCTCCTCAGCTTGGCTCGACTATAAGGTTTCCCTTCTCCCTGGCAATAAGAACCCATTTAATTCCACCACATACAGTACAGGGGTTCTCTTGTCTCCTGAAACAACCCCCGAGAGGCCTCGCAGGTGGCCCAGCTGGAGACCCCTCCGTGTGTGTGGCAGCCCCTGCAAGGGGAGATGCTGGACAGGATGGGTCATGTCTGAGCCTGGGGCTGTCAGACGTGAAAAAAACCCAAATGGGGTTAAAATACTCCCTACTGTTACTTATGAATTGATCATCTGTTACGAGTACATCATCTGTTACAGGTACAGCAGTATGATATAGAAGACTGAGTGCTCACACCTACCGCTCATAAACTGCTGAGGAGTTCCCTTCCTCTGTGATTTTTCCTGTAATCTATTTTGATTGTATATCATCACTGCACACTGCCAGTCCCGTACAGGGCTAAAACAGTGCTTTGGAAAGGAACTCCTTCTCCCTGCATGAAGCTGTCAGATGCCTTCCCTGAGCAGGCACTGCCTGAAGGAGAATGGCTTTGTCTCCTGAACAGCACAGCATGAATTTGAGTCCTAAAATAATGGTTGCATACTTCACCTTTCTGCAATGCAGCTGCCCCTACTGTTTCATGATACACCTGCAGCTGTCCACCTGCTTATTCTTCCAATTTCTTTAGTATTATCCTTCGTATTTGCTTCCTTTTTTGAGTAAAACATGCAATTTTTGGAAGCCCAGTTGTTAGATCTTCAAGGTCTGTTATCTCCAGTTGAGTGATGCCATCCCTTATTTCCTCCTGTGTTCATGGGAACCTGGGAGTAGCTGCTACCTCCCAGGTCACTGGGCCAGTCTCCTGTTACTGCACATAATGTCAGAAAATCTGTTTAATGAACTTTTCACTGAGTTCAGTGTGTTTTGTCAATGTCCTGAAAATGCTATTGTTTTAAATTTTATTTAAAATTTGTTTTTTCTTACAAGCTTGTTTCCCTCATTCCCCTTAAATGAACTAGATCATATACAAAATGCCAAATATTCACTCAGTTGCCTGCAGCAGGACCCCAAAATAGGTTCCTAAGGCTCCACAGTAGCTTCTATGTGAATTATTGTCTCTGCTTTGCAAACCATCTGGTAATGGAAGTGGAAATTTTTGCATAATTACTGCTACAATAATTTCAATTTTCATCAGAAAAGGGAAATCTGGCTGTAATTAAACGGCCAGGAACAGTTTGTACGACTTCTTTTTGTATAAAGGGTTTAGAGCATTATTGCCATAGTGTGTATGTATGCAGATTAAGGAATATTGTTTCCTTGCTCAAAATTACCTGGAAATAGTGGCACTGAAAAATCTGCTCCAAACAAAGTAGTAAGAAGGCCTTTTTTTTTTTCCTTTTAATTTCCAGCAGATTTACCAAGTAACTTATTAGAAATGCCAGTGTTTTCATAATTTCTGTGAAAACTAAAGTATTTAGTCATGGTTATTTACCTTTTTTTTTCTCTTTTCTCTGTTACTTTAATCAAGGTCAGTCAATGGTCCATTAAAGAGAAGGTGGCTGTTCAGATGCAACATTACCTTTCCCAATATGATATATGTGCAAACAGGTTCCCCCCTTCTATCGATATCAGTATCATCACGTTTAATTCTGTAAATCATGCCAGATGTAAATCTGTTGAGCAGAAGGGAGATTTAACCCTGGTCATCTCTAAATCATATAATATACACAAAACCATTTTCACCCCTTTCCCAAAGATTGTAGGTACAGGAGCTGCACAGACGCATGTGCATTTGGGCTGTATTGGTGCATAGTTTTCCCAGCTTGGAGCAGACCTGTCTGTGTGAAAGTGTGCAGCCATTCCAGGACCACTACTACAACTGGATAATGTCACAAACCCTTCCTGAGATAAAGAAGTGAAAGAATACTTTTAGTTAATGCATGATAGGAACAGGTTTTTTTCACAGATCTCTCTGTAATTTTTCTTTTAACTTATTTTTCTTCAGAGTCTTTTTTAAAGGATTAATTTTTTTGGAGGGGGAAAGGAGGGAGTTTGTTTTCAGGTTTTTTTGTGAGTTTTTTGTGGGTCTTTTGGCATTAGCAATCTTGGAAATACCTATGCTAATTTAATAAACCGCTAGTTTTTTCATCAGTTCTTCACTCCTTGTCAGGGAGAAGAAAACGCCAGCACTTTTTGGTGCAGTGGGCTGGAAACAAAGTACTAACATCTAGCTCAAGAGTGAGCATTGGTTCTCACAGAATTTCTTTACCTTCGTTATCCAGAGCCTTTCCACTGTTTGAAAGATTGCCTGGCATTAAATATTACTACAGGATAACTCTGAATCCAGGTCTCTGGTGTTTTTCAGCCACTGAAATTCCTTTGCTGGCTGCTAATGAGCTGGTATTGCCTAAGAAATGTCCAGGTACACATTTCATTCTAACAAACATTCATAAGCATGAGTTAGTTATGGCTTTGCCATAAAAAATATCTGCCCACTTTCAACACATATCCTGCTTATTTCTGTGCACACTGTGCTGAAGAATATGATGACACACTGTAGTTAGTTTACTTCCCTCCCACCCCCCCACTGCTCTCTGTGATGTGAACATCTGGCATCTGGAAATAAAACAGCATAAAACACTCAATTTCTTGTCTACATGAATCAGTCTGCAACCCAAGCTATGCAGAAAATAATGGCTGCTGGATTAATTTCTGCAAGGGTTGTATCACACTCTTATGGAACACTCAGCAGTTTTCATATGGATTTTTCCAAATGTTACAGGTGACATAAATGTGTTTCACAAAAAGTTTACTGTGGCAGAGTGGCTCGAGGTTACTTGGTACTCAGTATCTTTTCTTGCAGATTTTATTTTTGTTGGCATTCCTACTGGGCTATTTGATGTGGTGGAAAAAAGTATTTTAATGAATTTATAAGTTTTTTATAAGTCAGATTGCAGAAAAGGACTAAGGGGAAATATGACATCTAATGTTTCTTTCAGTCACTGAAGATCTTGTTAGAAGACGTGCAGAACATAACAACTGTGAAATTTTTTCACTGGAAGAAATCTCTTTACATCAGCAGGAAATAGAAAAACTAGAGTATCTTGACAAATGGTGTCGAGATTTAAAAATTCTCTATCTTCAGAATAATCTCATTCCAAAAATTGGTAAGTGTTTTCTGGATATGTTTATTTTAAAATGGATTTACATGCATAATTTTGAAATCAGGAAAAAAAAAGTGCTTTAAGAGAATGTACAGTGAGTAACTACAGAGAGGTTCCTTGTGGATGTGCTCCTACAAGAGTTCCTTTCCTGATTTCTTTATTAAATTTCTAAGAAGTTCAGAAATTTGCAAGAGAAATTTTAAATGAAAAAGATACTACTGGGATACAGATACTCACTAGAATATGAGTGTGGAACACCTTTCATTGATTAAAATCTCAAAAGTCAAGATATAATTAAATGTCCCATATTTATGGCAAACAAAGAGTTTAGCCATGGACTATGGTGTCGTAGGATTAGCTCTCTTCAGGCTCATTTTTAAATGAAGTGTTTATGCAAATGGTATTTTTTTGTTGACATTGAAATAATTTTCGTTAGAATAAAATACTTGCTTTTATGCGTAAACCAAACTTTTTACAACACAGTCTCAGTGGTCTTCCTGCACCACAGGAGAGGATATAATTTCATATGGTCTGCATTTTTTGGCATTGGTTCCTGTGTTTCATTGGCGTTCTATTGAAAGATGCAACATCAAGCCCATGGCTGGAAAAGCTTACACTCTGCAGATAGTGCGTAGATGAACAGTGAAAAGTTGGAAGTGTTCAGGAATTATATTAGCATATCTCTTTGAAGTTCCTTAAGAGGAAGAAATTAAATACTGAAGTTTTAAGATGAAATTCTGTGCTCAGAACTTGTAGGCAAGTCCGTTAAATTCTCTGCAGTGGCTCATCACGAAACTATACTGCTACCATCTGCATTTCTTAGAGAGAAGGAATCTTCTCCCAGAGAGAATAAGTTTTTTGAAACTACTTTATGATGCTTTGCCCCATCACAAATGGCACTGAAACTGAAGTTGGTTTTCTCTCTGTTACTGTGTCCTTAACAAGTTTTCATCTTGTGGATTTTCTGTCAACACTCAGGCCTCCTTTAGGTTAGTACAGGATATCATATTCAGATTGTTGCTTTTTGGACACGAAGTTTTCTCAGCAATTTCATTTTTGAGGCACACAGGTTTTATCTTGGCATAATCTAACTGTAGCAGTTGGAAAAGTGTGCAACTTAGTGAGTCATATATTCTTGTATAGTGTAATGGCTTTCCAAGATAATACCTTAGTAACTAATGGGATAAAAATCCAGAACAAACACACATGAAGACACACCGTCCCTGCACTATAGTGGGTGACCAAAAGCATTGCCAACAGGGGTTATGTGACAAAGTATTGAATTTGAGAAATAATTCTTCCAGTGGATACCAACATGTCCTTGCAGAGGGCACAGCACTTCCAAGGATGCTTCTGAATATTGTCCCGGAATGGTTTATATTGACTCTGTCGGGATGTGTCCTTTCTCTTCTTAAACAAAACCTTTCTGCAGGCCTCAAGATCAGACTTGCCTACTGAGCAAGGTTGTCAGGCACCCACTGTATGGATGCGTCCCGATTCTCTTCTATAAATGGAAAAAACCCCAAGATATCACTGGCTTCAACACTCAACTCTCTCACGTCTTTGTGTGTACAGGCACTGCCATTACAGAAATATTGCAAGAAAAACATCCAACCTAAGCTGCACAAGTTCTTGCTGAGAAAATAATTTCATCATTTTTTGTGAATTATGAAGAAAATACCTGTCCAAGGTCTTAGTACTAAGTGGTAGGATTCATGTCACCAAATTTGTAGACATCTTTGTCTACAATTTACAGTATCTTCCCTTTATAACCAGTCATGAAGAAAAGGCATATTTTTGTGCATGATTTGATTCACTAGTTCTAGACAGCCAATTTAAGGTAAGACAAACTGCACCTTGAACAGCCTAGTTCTCTGTATTGATCGTAGAAGAGCCTGAACAACTAACTCAGCTGCAGACATGATCTGTGGTTGTCAGATGAAGCTCCCTCTGCTTGAATTACTTTGTTTGCCCCAGCAGGCACAGTTTGTACAGCAGTTATTCAGTGCAGCTTGTGAGTTAGAATTTGAGGTAAACTTGATGACTTCTTTGGACAGGTTTTCCAGTCAGATCCTTGAAACATGGTGATTGGGAAGAAATTGGTAACTATGACACAAGTTAGCCTCTGTATCTTGTCTCAGATTTAAGTCTCTGACCTGTGGGTCATCTATCTCAAGTGGTCTTTGCATTTTCCAGACATTTTTGGGAGTGATGAAGATTGTTGCTACCCTATTCCCTCTTTACCCCCTTTTGGTATTCCAAAGAGGAAATGTTCCCCACTCACTGTGAACCTGCTAGTTCCAATAGGTCATGGTGAAAATAATACAGGTTAGACTCCAAGCTAAGGGAATGTGTGTGTGTGTGTCTTTGTTTTGTTTATACTGAACCCACAGAAATCCTTATGTGTAAAATTTTTAAAAAGGGGGAAGAGGAAGTTTCTTGTACTAAACCTGTAGATTAAAGATGTCAAAAATTTACAGATAAATTAAAAAAGCCAATATTTTCTATATAAGTAAGTGTAAAACTTTAATTTTATAAAGCTTGTCCAAGTATGACCTGATCCTTTCTGAGTTTCACAAGAGGTGCTTTTTGCATTTGTCATGCTCTCACCATGCTTTTTTGGCCAGTCCTCTTGCATTACATAGGTGTCTTATGGATTTGTGCTAAAAATGTGTGTATAAGATTCCTTATTTCTTTTTACTTTTTTATTTTAATTTATGTTTTCAGAGAACTTTTTTGTTTTGTCCTTTAATTAATATTAAAATATTAATGCCCAGTAATGTGATGTTTGTTCTGATTTATCCTTCCTTTTTTTTCTGCTTTATTGTTTCTTTGAAGTAAAGTGAGCAGGTAAAATGACAATGCCCTTTCCGGTGCAGAGAACTGAAATAATGGATCTGTGTTGTGTTACAGAAAATGTGAACAAACTAAAGAAGCTGGAATATTTAAATGTAGCTTTGAACAACATTGAAAGAATTGAAAATCTGGAAGGTCAGTTTTTAAACAAACCATTTTACCTTTTCATATTAGAACACTTAAATTGTGACAGTGTGAAAGAGAGTAGAAGCCATTAAGCATATCCACCAGTGATGGTATTTTGTTGATACTCAGAGTGTTTTTGTATGCAGGGTTTCAATAAATGCTGCTTTGTAGCAAGTGCTTCCTAGTGCTGAAGTTTTCTCATTGAACTTTCTTAAAATTAAACATTGAACTTTTTAAAATGTCTCTTTGTAATGTTTCAACAAACATCTTCAGTTCAGCAGTCAAATGCCACACACAGAAAGGTTCTGCTGTGAGCACAGGTTGCATTGAGGGTGTGGGTTATTTTTAAAGAGGTTTTCAGATGATTTATTTCTCTCTCATTGCGTGAAATCCTGTCTGTTTTATCTGTGTTTAATCCTTTCCTATCACTTTTGCACATTTCACGTGCAAAGATCTGGCATTTTCCAAGATTATAATCTAACACAGAGCCACCCATAAACGCATTCCATATTACTTGAATAATTTATGACTTGATTGTTTTCTGTTTCTTAATTCTGATTAGACCAGTTGCTGACTCTTTAAGATATCCACCTTGAAAAAGAAACACTTAAAAAAAAAAAAAAAAAAGACGCTGTTTTTTGTTTTGGTTGGTTGGTTGGTTTGGTTTGGTTCACTCTGTGAGTCCATAGAGTGGAACCTATGGAAGACCTCTTCTTAACTTGGAGTGAATTTTTAGAAAACCTTGACTTTTCACTTTAATAATATTACCAAAGATTAACCATAGCCAAAAATGAAACCCATAATTGATTCTGCTGTCTTGAAGGACTTAGTGTTTTAGTAACATGGTTAAGACTCAGTTGAGGGGGGGTATCAAGGCAATCAGACTGTTAAAAGTGAAGTCCAGCTTTTCTAGAAAAAACATTTAATATCTCGTCTATAAATGATCACAAAGTTTTGATACTGATAAAACCAATAATATTTTGGTATTTTTTATTTTATTGAGTTTGTTTCCTTCCTATAAATATTGTGAGTCACTCTTTGCACTCAGAGTCTCAGAAAAGATGTATTCTGATAGAATAAAAGTAGTTTACAGAACACAAATGGAGAGTTTTATATCCAGGTGCATGCATGTGTGTGTGTTTGTATGTCACGTGTACATTTATGTTATGGACAAACAGAATTAAGATTTTTCCAAAATTTAGGCTGTGAAGAACTGAAGAAACTTGACCTGACAGCAAATTTCATTGGTGAACTCTCCAGTATTGAATCCCTAAAACATAACATACATCTGAAGGAACTGTTTCTAACGGGTAACCCATGCACTGAATTTGAAGGCTATAGACAATTTGTAGTGGCAACACTTCATCAATTAAAAGTAAGATTTAAAAAATTAAATCCAAATAAAAAATGAGCACTGTCGACTAAACCTACTAATCCTAAATAAAATAAATACCTGTGCTGGGAAAACCAGTAGCATTTTTTTTGCTGTCCACAGGAAATTAAATTATATTCCGAAGAATAAGTGACTGCAATAAATTAATTCTAGTAATTAGTTCTGTTTTGATGGAACCACATGCATGTGTTAACTTTTCTGTCTTTCTTATTTGAGATCCTTAAAGTTTTGAAGAAATAAATGCTTATACCGTTCTGGCCTTTTTTTTTCTTATTTGTTTTATATACGCAGTGGGTTTTAAATTATTATCATGATTGCAGAAAGTTACCAGGTTGTTGGTAGCATACCAACAATATGTTCTAAACCTGCTGTGCAAGGCAGTAGAAAGGCACAAGTTGATGTAAAAATGTGCTATGTTGTATTGGCTGTAAATAGCTACTTTGAGAGTGAGGTTCTGTGCAATGGCCAAAACCACCACAAACCATTTTCACAGCTGAATAGACAGTTATTGTTAATTCTTTTTAATAGATTATAACATAGTTCTATGGAGGTTTGAAAGGTGCATTTCTAATTGTGTACAGAATTTTAAAAATTAACCTACAGTTTAATAGATTTATTAATTTGAATGTGCTTATAATTTCTCACATATCTATATTGATTTTTTCTGCTTTGGGAAGTATTTGGATAGTAAAGAAATAGAACGTTCAGAGAGGATTAAAGCACTTCAGAATTATCCAGAAGTGAAACAGAAAATCAGAGAACAGGAACAAGTTTACCTTCTCAAAAGGGCCAGAGAAAAGGAAGAGGCTCAAAGAAGGATGCAAGAAAGAAAGGACAAGAAACAAAAACAAATGGAATCTAAGCTTGGATTTGACAGGTAACAGTAAGCAACAATAGTTTGTGAGCAAATATCATTCTTCTCTTTCTTTATTAAGAAGTTTGTTTTTCCTCATTGAAGAGTTTATATTATTTCATGTAAATATTTTTGTTCATCTTTATTGTTGATTCAAGCAGAATTATTTCTCCTTGTGCATGTTATCTCTAATGAAAAATATAACTAATTACAAACACAGTTTGTTATTGACCTGCAGACAGTGCAATAGAATTTTTGTCCCAAAACTCCAAGCTCAGTTGTCTGGGTGCCAAAAGAGTATAATTGATTGCTTCTTCCAGGAGAACAGCTGGAAATTGTTATTTAAGGTAATGCAGAGGTTCCAGAGAAAGCATCTGTTCACCTATAACTGTTTTTGCTTTAGCATTATTAGATCTGAAGACTGAAATGGAATGTAGCAGGTCTTTGGAGATGTAAAAGGCTTTGCAGTGTTGATTTTCATACTTCATATTACTGATAGTCCCTAGACAGCAGCAGGATTTTTGTCTGGGATCATCTTACACTGCAGTTGCCATCCATCTTATTTTTAATCCAATAGAGACTAAGTTCCATGGAGCTGCCTGCGGAACTTTGTCCTCATAGATCACAGCTCTATCATAAATTTAGTTTTCTCCCTCTGTTGATAGAGAATTAGAGAGGCTTAGAGCTAGAAGAAAAAATTACTCAATGTTAAGATGGCACTTGAGGAGATGCTTATTGCTACCTTATAAGTTTCTAATCTGCTGCTGCCTGATATTGGGAATACTTAAACATCACATAGACTGAAAGTTTTCTCTCACCTGAAAGTTGTGAGGGTATCTGAAAATTCTGCCTCTGAAATTAAATCTGTTGAACTATCTATCAGGGTTTTCAGAGGATTAGGCATAGCCATACTATCACTTCTTAGACAAGTCAATGAAAAACATTATGTCAGAATGTGTTTTGTTGATTGACGGAAAAAGCAGAGCAGAGGACGTTACCCCAATATATAAGATATTGTTCTTGGTAGGAATTATACAGTTTTTATTACTGGGTTGGAAAAAATATGACTGCAATTATTCATTAGCAAGAACTAACTGTTACTCTTCCTTCATTTCATTGGGATGATATTCCAATGTTCTTGTGTAGCCCCGATTCCCCACAGGAGAAAGAAAACCATCAGGCAGAAGGAGATGGAGAGCAGGAAACGTGCAGAACAGTTGAAGATGATGAAGAAGACAGAAGATTTTGGGAGGAACCTACACCATATACTCCAGAATCTAGATTAGAAACTCACAGATACATTGAAGAAAAGCGGAGAGCTAAAGACAATATAAGGTGCTTTTTTGTTTTAATATATTCTATGAATTGAAGAAAGAGACATTTTCTAAAGTACAGAGGACAGGTGGGTGACTGCCTGACATTAAATATTACTGAGAACTCGCAGCTTAAATCCCTATTGCCTGTGAAAATAGGCTTATAAAATATAAATTAAATATTCAGATTGTTCATTTTGCTTTGTTTTATTTTCTGAACTTCATTTATGGTACTCTTTATTTTTCCTCAAATAGAGTTTTTAAATGTAATTTCTCTTTTCAACTCCATTTTATGGAGTTGAGAAGTTTCACTTTTCTGTCAGCTAACTAATATGTTTTGTGTAGTTCTACATTTAATATTCTGCTAAAAACATTCATGCAGATTGCATTATATAAATGCCATAAGGCCATGCTACAAAATTTTTGCACAAGTGGCATTTCAGGAACCTTTTCTGTGTAACTGAGAATTTTTTTCACATACTTCATAAAAGATATTTGTCACAAGTAATAGGATTCTTCATGTTATCTGGGCTACTTGGCATTGTGAATCTGAAGAAGTCTGACTCCTGAAAAGCCTTTAGAACTTTCTAAAGTTGTCACTGGTTTTGCTGAACACGGAACATTCATGCAGATGCTAGCAAAAAGCCACACTATTGTACTGCTACTGTCTTATCAGTTCCACAAACATTGTAAGCAATGTCTTTTTTTTTTTCTTTTACTTATATAACATAATTTGTACCAGAGATTTTTTTAGCTGTTCTTTTTAAGGGCATGCTTTTTGGGAGTTTTATCAAGCCTAGGTGTTGAAAAAGTCAGTCCTAGGGAACTCTCCAAGAAATCTGGAAGTGTGCATAACTTGTTGCTATTATTAATTCAAGGTCTGACGCTTTCCTTGAAGAACTACTGTGAATCCAGGTCCTACCCAGTTAGAATTTTGCTATGTTTGGAAGTGCCTTGATCTACTCAAAAGCAAATGTGTTCCAAATGCTTCCCTGTAAGGATTCAAGGAGAGTCCAAATAGTATTATAATAAAGATAGAATAATTATTTTTTGGATTTTTCTAAATTTTGAGGGCATTTGAAGGAGTTAAATATCCTTTTGGGGTTTGTTTTCGTTTAGTGTTGATGTTTGTGTTAGGTAGCATGAGAAAGGTGAGAACAGAAAAGTGGCCCTGACAACTTGAAATTGTCGTTGCTGGTAGACAGAGGCTAAAATACAACTTTAATATAAGTTACTCAGTATAAAAGGATGTGTATTTTAGTATAAAATTGACATGAACATATCTTTTGAGCAGGGTGGTGGTTCGTTCACTTTTATTTCAAGTCAAGAGTTGAAATTCAGGCACAGAAACTGTTAGCCCACAAATCCCACATTAGAACTCTGATTTATACTGTAGAATAGTATTTAACACATGCATAACTGTGAATCTTTCTTAAACAGAAATTGTTTTTATGTAGTCGTTCCAGTAGCTGTACTTGAGTGTTTTTATTTCTTCCTCAAATCCACTGTATTTATAGACCAAATCTGTTTTTATGTTTTTTCCCCCCAAGGGGTTCTAAATCTTAAGTATACTTTATATCCCTCATTAGTGATTTGCATTTAATATTCTCTTAACCTTGGACTTATAGTAAGAAATAGGTTCAGGAGCAAAAAAACCCAATGCATTGCTGTTGAGTTTTTTTGAGAAATGTTTTCTTTTTAATATGCTGGCTGAAGTAGCCATACCCACTATATTGACCAGCTGAAGAGTAGATTAATACAACATGACAATTGCAGTGCTGTATTTTTAACAGCCATATTTTTACCTACATGCAAGCAAGGTTTTTCTTTTTCATGTTATAAGATTCCTTACTCTTCCTTTCCTTGCTGAACATTTAAACAGAAAAAATACCAGTACTACAAGTCTTAATGATCTTACAGTGATCTGCTTTGTTTGGGCAGATAAATTTAAGGTAGCTTATTTATTACACTAATTGAAAGTCAGCCATAGTTTGATTGCTGATAGCTGGAAATGGATAGTGAATATTAATAAGTACATCATCAATACATCAGGAATATGTATTGTATTTTTTCAAGGAAGAACACAGCAAAAAATGTAATAAATACATCAACAAATAATGTGTATGTCTGCACCTGGACCCTACTGTATCATATTTGGTGCTGCTTGTAATCTTTTGACCATTAAAATTCTTTTTACTAGTGCAGAAGTGACTGAGAGACTGATGCTGTTTGGAGACAGGCCAAGCATTTGTTCAGTAGCAGTAATTAAGTGAGCATGAATAAAATTTCTTTAGACTTGCTTAAACATACATCAAACCAGTTAGCAGCAACAACACTTCATGATTGGTTTGACTGTTCATAACTAGAATTTTCAGATGTTTAAGCAATCCACGGTTTTCTTATGGTATACCAGATAATTTGATATATTACTGTTTGATAGGGATATTGTGACATGCAAAAGAAGTTATTATCCATGTAAGATGTGATATTACAAAGCATTTGCTCATCTTTAGCCAATGTTTTTAATGTGCAGTTGGAAATGTGATATATTCTGTTTTGTTCCTGAAATAGGTTATAGCCTGAACATCAAACACCAGATAATTCTTACTTCTTACCATGCTCTTTTTTTGCTATTAAACATAATAATAGCAAAATTTTAACCATTAACCATAAACCATTTTTGTTTCTGTTTTGTTAAGGGAATCAAAAAAGAGTGAGAAGGCTCCTTGGACATTGGTCACTGCAGAAGGAAAAGTTCTGAATGTGAATGTGCCTAAGTATGTAAGGTTAAGAGGTTAAACAGTCTAATCTCTCTATAGCTGATTTGGGAAACTAGTTCAAGATGTGTGACAATACAAAAGTAAGAGAGATGAGAAATTCTTGTTGGAGTATTATATTCCTTTTGGGAAAACTATCTTCTAAATTTGTACTCGGATGCTGGAAAAAGAATCAGTTTTCAGTGAGTAAAGTGTTGAAGATTGTTTAATTTAACATCTTGGTCTGAAATGATTAAACAACTTGTTTTTCGGTAAAAGATATATTTTAGTCTTTTCCCTTCTATGGTAAGGCTCTTTCTTGGAGCATCTTGTTAATAGTGGAAAAAGTTTAACTGGTTTGACTATTAAAGTTAAATGTGTATGAGCAGCCACTTTAAATGTGGAAAAAAAATCCAAGTAATATTTCTGGACGAAATTGTTTTGTCCTCTGATGACAGCTGTAAAATTGGCAGAATTGGGAAGGATATGTTATCAGCTTCTGTGGCATGAGGCCCTTTGACACTGACTGAGGGCTATAGCAACAGAGGCTGATGTTCTATCAGCCTCTTGCACCTGGGTATTGAAGTGTTTTGGAATGAGCTTTCAGGGATATCAGCCATGTGTTGTCATTAGTTTCACTTGAACCAAACCTTCCTTTCTAAGGGAAAGGAGGAGACTGAGAACACAAATGTTCCCTTACAAACAGCTCCCCAAAGAGCCTCCTACAAGAGACTGGTATCAGAAAGTGGCCACTTACCTGTCTGCTGTGCTCTGCAGAAGTTTTTCCATCTTAAGACTTAAATAGCTGCAAAACCAAAGCTATGAAAACACTTGTCCTGCTTTCCAAATCTTGGAAATTTATAAATCCATGCAAATTAAAAGAATTTGAAAACCTACATTATATGTAGTATACAATATTCAGTAAAAATATATATATAAATTTCTAGTCCAGGGAAGACAAGCCTAAAATAATTTAAATCTTGTGCTAATAGAAGCTGATTATGCCTTTAAAAATCAGAGATATGTAGACTAAAGCCCTAGCTGTCTTTTTAGAAAACATACAGGGTTCACTGTTAGTAGCAGACCTGTTTGTGTCACCCAAGTTTTCTGGATTAGAATTTAGTCTGTGGATGTGCCCACGTAAAGCCAGACCAATGAGCAGTTTTTGTCATGGCTTCAACAAGAATATCACAGCTCCTCAGTGCAATCTGGCAGTGAATTGGAGAGGCATAAAGAGAGAGATACGAGTAAGCAGATGGTATTCTCCAAAGTTTTTGCTTCAATGTGGAAGTCTAATGTCCATAAGAGTGTCCAGGTTTCTCTGCCATTCTTTTGGAAGGTTAGGAAGAGAAATGGCTGCATGCTACTGAGGACAGACTATTTCTCTTCTTCAGTTCTGATTAAGCTTTCTCCTAGAAAATTTTACAGTTCTGTCCTCTTGTTCACCCTTCATGTGTTAGTGAATTCTCAAAACCAGTAATGCAGTAGGAGAAAGAAGCTGTTTTGTATTCATTGCACTTTCCCAATAAAAAAGACTCATAAACTACTATTCCATAAACTTTCTTGCAAATTGACTGTATCAGAATATGGGAGAGAAAAGAGTAAAAAGTATATCTGGCAAATATTTTTAATGCTGAAAAATTTTACTCTTTTATCTGTTAACATTTGAGCATCTTTCCATTACGTGAACCCAATGTATCTGAGTATTTTAATGTCAATGAAATAGTCCAGATAAATTACTTCAAGCAAACACCTCTCATTTTATACTAATAACTAATTTATAAAAATATTCTCATAGGTGATTTTATTCTGGTTTTTCTCTACTTTAATACGTGGAAAACTTTTGAGCATATGAGCAGAACTTTTAAGTCTAGACTAGATCTCCTTAGATTGTAGCAATAGGTGATGTTTTCAATTTATAACTGGTAAGATTTGTTTATAATTTTAAGAACTCAGCCAGCAAACATGCAGATAATACAATCTACAGTCTCATTTTCAACAAATGCAAAGCTTATAGAACCGAGGATATTATGCAAATCATGTTTTACTTTGGAAGTGCACAGACAGATATCTAGGCAAATTAATTGCTATGAACAAAATTGATTTTTTTTTAACATACCATAATGTTAGAATTGCCAAGTTCTGGGCTTTTCATGCATTTTATATCTGATTTTTTTCTATGAAGATGTAACAGAGCAGGCAGGTTTCACCAGCAGATGTCTCTCGTTCTGCATTGACAGAATGAGCTTAATTTTAACTGACCTTCAGCAGTGGGGTTTTTTTCATTTTCTTGTGGATCGAGTGGGAAGAACAGAAAATAAATGTAAGAATTACTTTGGTTCAAATGCCAGTATTTTTTTCTGTTCATGGGGCAAGTTGCAACCATTTCTAAAATGATCACATGACATATTGTCTAAATGGTATTTGCACTCATCCAAAAGTGCTAGCAGTTGAAGTGTGCTGTAATGTTTGCTTATTCACTGCAGTTGTATTTATACTGGAAGTGTTTCTTATAATTGTTATTAGGCTTCATTTCTCTTTGAAAGATGATGAAGAAAAGAACCAGTTCATCTTGGAACTTGCTGTTTACAGGTCAGATTTTTTTTTTCCTCTTAATTTTTGCCATTCATAAGATCTAATACACAGTGTTTCAGTTACACTCCTCCCTGTACTGGGACCTTTTCAAGAGGAAAACAAAAACCAAAGGGGTGGTGGAATAAATCTTGAAGCCTGTGCCACAGAAGTTAAGCCAAATAAGCTAAAGACCCTTCAGGCTGTTCTGTTACTCCTGAATGAGGACTGTGTCCTTTTGGGAACTGATGTTTTCTGTAGTCCACAGGCAGGTCTCCTCCATGCCTGTCCTTTTATACTTACGGAAAATCTTTTCCATTCTTCATTTGCAGATCAGGGTTGTAGGGAGTGAGTTTGGCCCTAGAAGTGCTCCAGTACAATTCACATCCTTGTACTTCAATTCTTCTCCTCCCTGAAAAAGAGTAGGGTAGACTTGTCCTACTTTCCTTGCTTACTGGAAAGAGTCCATGGCTAATTCTTGAACTATACCAGGGCATTGCCTGAAATAAATTTGGTTGAACCAGGCCAAAGTATCATGAAGAGAACTGATAACTATTTGGTAGCATGTATACTTCTAAGCAGTACAATGACCTTTTCCATTCTTCAGGAAGAGGCTGGAAACCCACAAGTTTATCTACCCATAATAGGAACTTGTTAGAATAAAGCTTGAACTAGTTTTACAGCACAGAAATACTGTTCTTGCCAGGTGTTCTTCCCTTAAAGCTCATTAATTTCCCTCAGAAGAGGCCTGCTCCACGTTTCTGAATTATAAGATACAGATTTTTTGGAACCTCAGAAAATCTGTTCAGGTGCAATAAATTGTTTGATGTATTACAGAATCACAGAATCATTTAGGTTGAAAAAGACCTCTTAGATCATGGAGTCCAACCTTTGACCCATCATCACCTTGTCAACTAAACCATGGCTCTGAGTGCCGTGTCCAGTCATTTCTTGAACACCTCCAGGGGTGGTGACTGCACCACCTCCATGGCAGTGCATATCCTAATATTCTGTGCTCACTTGTAAGAAATGCAGACTAAATAATCTGAAAAGTTCACCTGAGAAGTAATGTTATTAAAGAAGGGAAATAGGAATACATACTTGTACATTCACGTGACTCACATCAGGTGTCACATGATGAAGAGCAGATGTTAAAGTGGAGTTTTTACAGGTCACAAATTTTATTTGACAGTACTGAAATTTAAAAGTATTGTTTAAAAGTTTTCTGGGAACGTAAAGTGTTTCTGTTCATTGTTTTCCAGCAAATTCTATGCAAAAAAGAGAACTCCTATTATAAATTTACTAGTAAAGCCTTCAGAAAGAAAAGTAAGAAAAGAGTTTTGCAATTTTAATGTAAAGCACTACACTAATAGATGAAAAACCTTTTTGTTCTCCACAAAGGTTTTGAATTCTTGCAGTTATACAATAGCTAATGTGGTGGACTTGACAGAATTTAGACATTATTTTAATGGACATTCACAAGAAGATTGTGTTTTTCTTCCGAAGACTTTAAATTCTAATAATATAACTCAATAACTGAAATTTAAGTTTGTACTTTATAACCTGTGAAATCATCACAAAAGAGGTATATTGTCTACTATAGATTGATTCATTCATTTATATTTCATTCAAAGATATTTGGACACTTCTCTGCTTGATGTTGATGTGCAGCCAACTTACGTACGAGTACTGGTGAAGGGAAAGGTTGGTGTTTTCTTACTGCATTCATTTCCAACCAGGAGTTAATGTTTACCATAGTTGTTCAGTGGACTTCGGATCTGATTTTTATGAGTTCCCAATTGTATCTATGCAGAAAGAATGTTCTGTAAATACCTTTTTGGACCACGTAAATATTTTGGACCTCGTATAAACTGTGGACATCCTAACCAGAAGACTTGCAAAGCCTGCAATTGAAATTTCACTGTCTTTCTCTCCTTCTCTCTTCTTATTCCTCCCACACAGTGTACCATAATTCACTTTAGAAGAGAACTTCCCAGTTGCCCTAGGCTAGAATTTAGCAACTTCACAATCTGGAATTTATAGCTGACAGAAACCAATGGATGTATACTCTTCTGAAAGGGCATTTAAAATGTCATTCTAGTTTTCTCTCTTCTCAGTGGTTTTAATTTTGTCATCAATTTTTTTAAAAATTCAAAGTACTTTCACAGTAAACCAAAATCCCTATTTTTGACTGTACCAGCTGAATAAACAAAACTTCAGAATTGCTTTACGTCCAAAATAGACTGGATAATCTTTCTCATTTAATTGCTAATGTAAGTCAAGCATCATTTTATAACCTTCTTTAGAAATGTCACTTCAGGAATGGCAGCAATTCAGGAATATACATCTGACTATACTTATAAGTAAAAGCTGGTTAGCATGCTAATAATTTATTAGGATTATATAAAGTGAGAAGATTTAGACCTATACTGGCCTTAAAATTAAAGAATGTGAGAGTGATGTTTTAACATGTGTTCTGTCCATATCAAAGAAAGAAAAAAAAAATTAGCATGATATACTTCAATCCCATATTTTCTCATAGCCATTTCAGTTTGTCCTCCCTGAGGAAGTGAAGCCAGACAGCAGCTCTGCTAAAAGATCACAAACAACTGGTCATTTGGTTGTCACCATGCCAAAGGTATGTAAAGTAGTCTGAGGAGACATCACACGAAAATCCTTAAATGTTGTGACTACTTTGGGAATATTTCTGAGTTACAGGTAACATCTGGCTTGATAAAGATATACAGGCTAGCCTTTCCCATCAGGGCATATTTTCCAAAAAAGGAACATTGCATAAGGACAATATAATCAGAGAGCCAAACCTTAGTATTTAAAATTCCTTTAAAGGAAGATTATGAAAATCAGTATTAATAGAACTGTTTGTATTTCCTTTATTTTAAACAAACCCAGCTTTTTTATGTGCTAAACAAGACTCTGCAAAACATGCAGTATTATGCAAATGTGTAAGAAGATAATTTTTTTTGAAATAATGAAAATAAGCAACATACTTACTTTCTTTTTCCACTTGTGAAACAAGCAAAACAATTCAGTTTTTCAAAATTTGTGTGGCACACATATGTATGAAGGTTACATTGTTATGCAATGTTGTGACACTCCGGTCACATCTCATGTTTGGAACAAGAGTTGTTTAGTTCATTTCTCCTTCATGCTCTCCCTGGTTGGAAAGGATCCACTGAGTAGTTGTACAAAGTGTCATAGTCATAGAGCAAGAAGGTTGTGGCAATTCAATATTTCAGTTGAAACTACTTGGAGCAGAGAGAGAGCTGGAAGTTTTAGGGAGGTAGAGTTCCAGAGTTGAGAATGAATTCTGTGGTGGGGTCCTGGAAATTGAGGGAGAGGTTAATCAAGTGTTCTTCTGCTGTTATGCCTTAGGAGGGTTGGGCTGCTTTTAAGAGCTCTAGGACTACATCATATACTTTCAGTTTTCAGAGTAGGGTAACCCTGCCCAAGGATAGTTACAGTAAAAAATTAACCTTTTGGTGTTCTAGCCTTACCCTTCTGGCCTTTAGGAAGTTTCCTTGCTGTGTAAGAGCAGGGGTACATGGGGCTACCTGTGAGTCTACCAGAATATATCAATTACAGCATTATCTTCTGAAGGAAGAAGCTATTTAGCTGAAATAACTTCAGCTGCTATTTGGAGTCAGTTCTTTCTCCTTGTGCTCTGATTTAATTTTAAGACTATGCAGCTAGTAGTTCTAACTAAAAAGTTATTTTTCATTTTTGGCTTTGTCCATTTGTGGTTCTTACCTTCTATATTTCCTTCCATGCTCCAGTCCCATACGTCTGTCTGTCCCTATGAGGAGAGCCTCTCATTAAATCACAAACTATCACTCTAGCATCAAGTGTGCAGTTTTACCAAGAGCTTAAAGAATACTGAAAATTGAACTCATTTGGTTAAGGTCCATATTTTGTTAATGTTCAAAATTCATTCATATGAGAATTTATGCTTTCATAAATTTATTTGAAAATGAGGCCGTGACATTTGCCATTTTGGATAATGTCATTTTCAAATGTATATGAACAGTCTTGTTTACTACTTACTTGTTGTTTGCATATTTTAAGTGCTATCAGCTTTCTATCCCATACTCTGCTTTTATTACTCATCCATCTTGCTAGTCTCATTGTGGATGATCAGTGCCTTAGAAAATGTAAATGTTTCAGAGAGTCTTTGGATATATATTCAACTCTGCTGCCTGCCTAGCAAGTCATACCTAAATCAGCAAAATTAATATTATCTCTTTGTACTGTGATTGAGAACTGCCTTTATTCCATTATTAACTTTATATGTAACCTGCCTTAATATTTTAGCTACACCTAAGTTTTTTACCTAGCCTGAGAGTCTGGAGTGTGTTTCATGTAAGAGTACAGGATTCTCAGGTATCTGTAAGACATGAGGAAAGAGAAGCACTGTGGAATAACTGGGTCAATGTTCTCAGCTTTGCCTTAGTTTGGTTAAAAACTACTTTAGTAGCTTGGACACAGCAAGAGATACATGATCGGAGTGCTGCATGGTCTAATGTCTTTGTTGTCATTGGATCCAAACACTTGGATCCTGGAAAGCAGCTTTGCAGAAAAGCACTGGGGAGTCTTTGTTGCCACGAAATTGAACATGAGTCAGCAATGTCCTCTTGTGTCAAAGAAGACCAGTTGTATCCTGAGCTGCATTAGGAGTGTTGCCAGCAGGTTGAGGGAGGCAATCCTTCCCCTGTGTTTGGCATTGCTGAGGTACACATGGAGAACTGTGTCCATGCTGTGCTCCCCAGTGCAAGAGAGACATGGACATGCTGGAGAGAATCCAGGAAAGGGCCATGAAGATGATTAAGGAACTGGAGCACCTCTCCTTGAGGAAAGGCTGAGGGAGCTGAGACTGTTCAGCCTGGAGAAGAGAAAGCTCAAGGGGATCTTGTCAATACATGTAAATACCTGAAGGAAGGGTGCAAAGAGGCAGAGCCAGGCTCTTTACAGTGATGCCAGTGATAGGACCAGAGACAGTGGGCACACACTGGAGCACAAGAGGTTCCCTCTGAACATCAGGAGACAATTTCTTACTGTGAGGGTGACCGAGTGCCTGCACAGGTCACCTGGGGAGGCTGGGAATTCTCTAGCCCTGGAGATACTCCAAAGCTGTCTGGACATGGTCCTGGGCAACTGGCTCTAGGTGGCCCTGCTTGAGCAGGAGGGTTGGGCAAATTGACATCCACGGGTCCCTGCCAATCTCAACCATTCTGTGATCCTGTGAACTTCATGGATTTGCTGACAAAAGATGGATTTGTGTTACTTCACAAACAATTGCGTGTAATACCAACCTATTGTTCTTTTTTCTATATTGTAGTCACAGAGTCTGTTCTCTTCCACCAGGACTGAATTACAGTTCTCAGGTTAAATTTTTGGGATACATATACTTCTCAGATGCTTTCTATGCTTAAAAATTTTATTGTTATTATTATTAATAGGATGTAATCTAGGAAGCGAGGTATAATGAATAATGATTAACAACTGGAAGACCAATAGGTATTTTTCTTGCAGAATATTATGGCTGATTTTATCAACAATGCTTGAGAATACTAATTTGAGATCACCAACTTAATGTGAATTCCTTTTAAGAAGATAATTGGAAGACCAGAGTTCATGCAAGTTCTTTCAGGCTGTATCAATAAGACAAGCCTATATTGCACTACATTTAATATTTTTGTTCCTGATAAAAAATTATCAAAATAAAATTATTTGCAACTAGATAAATGACCTAGCACATTCCTTAGGTAACTGAAATATTAAAAAATGCCACTGACCTAAAAATAGTGTCCTATAACATGCTGCTTGCCATAGTATCCTAAAAATATCTCACTCTTCTTAGTAACAGAACAGAAATCTAACTGAATTCTGAGTGTTTTTCACTTCCTTTAGTGAGTTTCTAATCAAGTTACTAAACCTTTCACATTCATCTTCCAGCCTGTTCATAGTTCTCAAGACTTTAAGAAGAAAAACAAAACCTCTTTCCTTGCCTCTCCAGTGACCTTGCCACACCACAGATGCTGGAGATAGTAAATTCCACATGAAGTAGAAGAAATCAAATAATTTTCACCTTCTTTTCTGGGAACATTTTTTTTAACTGTGCTGTTTACTACACGTCAAATCCCACAGAATGGGTGCCTTTCTAAGGCAGTGTCATGTCTATCGACATTTTTTTGGAAGGTCATCAAAAGAAACTGAAGGACACAAGGTTCAGTGAAATGATACAGTGACACTTTTAAAGTGTAGTGTTTGTACTGTAATAATCATCTGTACGGAGATTTTGCATGACTACATTGTACGTGCCTCACATTCTGGGAAAAATATTTGTGACTTGAAGCTTTTCAAGTCTTGAACATCTGTTCCTGGCAGCATCATCTTTGCAGATGATGGAGGAAAATTAAAACCTGAGAGTTCCTTTAAAAGACTTTGACCGAAATTGGCGTATATGATTTTATAAAATGTCATCATAGATTACACCAGTAGCATTTTAATTAATGTCTGAGAAAAAGCATCAAACCCCAATATTATTAGCAAGCAGGTTTAATTTAGGGTTCTGAGACATTCTGTGTCATGTTTTAAAACTTTCCTTTTCTTATTTTAGTGAATCAGAGAGAAAAATTTGAACTTTTGATCACAAATGAATTCTGACAGCTTTTTATTGCCTGGGCCTTCAAAAACATTTAGAAATGTTAAGATCAGTGAGAGTTAAATTCCTTAATTAATCTAAAAATAGAAGTGGTATATATTATGCATGTCAGTGTTATTTGATAGAATTACATTATATAATTCTCACTTATCTAGGTATGGTAAATGCAGTAATATTTCATTACCATCAAAGGCATGTGGAGACATACAGCTCTGGAGCCCTGGAAATCTAATAATCCTTCAGAATAAATGTGTTTCAGTGAAACTCTGTTACTCAATGGAATTCCCGTTGTAGAAGAAGAAAGTACTGTGGGAAAAAAGTGTGGACTGAAAATATGAATAAAAATATGGTTTTCACATATTTCTACTGGTTTCTCAAATATACTCCAGATTCTATTTAACACACCTATTTCTAGCATTCTCTGATAATGATCTTAAAAATGGTGTTGTTTCTGTTTTCTAATTAATGTAAATATTAGAAATAGTTTCATAGAATAGCTTCCAGAAAGCTTCATCATATTAATTTAGTCCATCTTCCTGTATACCACAGGCTTTAAATTTGACACGGTTATCTCTCTACTGAGCCCAAAGTCTTACCTTTGGCCACAATTGAAGCTATGGCAGTTCTGTTTTTCAGAGCAGTTTTCCTCAGTGATCACTGTCACTAAGGGACGAACAGTCAGTTACTGGCTTGGTGAAGCTCACGTACCATTTTTCAGAAAGAACTAAAATTACAAAGTGTCCCTTAGTTTTTGGGTTTGGTTTTGTTTTTTTTTTTAATTGAACAGAGGTAGGAGGACATCTTTTGAGCAGAAGAGCTTTTATGTCAAGCAATATTTGATAATTGATAGATGTTCTAGTAGGCAAATCCTAATAACCCTTACCTAAGTTGCAAGATCAGTTCTTGTCAAGGAAGTATCTTCTGTTGAATGCTACCACACAGAACCAGCACATTTCTTTACCATCCTTGATGATGCTCTGAGGGCAAAGTAAGGAACATGATTCTCAAGGGGATCAGTGGAATGAATTATTTTAACAGAACAGAACACTTGAGGGCCTCCTGAGAAAAGAGAGTACAAAGAAACAGAGTTTCCTTCAACAGAGCATGTACAGAGTGAAAGGGCATCAACCTCTTCACACTGAATTCCAGAAACAAACGACAGAAGCTACAGGTTTTGTCTTATTTCTTGTGGGGTTTAAAATGGAGACTCTAAATTCACAGGGCTTCTGGAACAGACTGCTCTCAAATCAATTACACTATGAAATAGTCAATAAAATGAACTATTTGGTAGAGTTCCTGTTCTTCTCCTTCCTTTCAAATGCTTAAGGGATCCCTTTCCCATGATGTTGTTAAGAAGGGAAAGAGACTCCTTTGCAATGAGATACCCTTTTGTCAATAACACATCTTACAAAAAATGATGGCAGACTTTTTTTGAGAAGGAGAATTCACTTGGACTTTGAACTTAAGATTCTGTTTTAGCAAACATGCTGAGGGAGTTTGTGGTCACTTGTCATTTTTATAAAGAGTGAGGAGAAGTCCAGACTGTAGCTGAGTCTGTAATAAAAATGTCTGAACAACAAGCACATGGACACCAGAACTGAAATACAAGTGAGAGGCACATCATGAATCAATTAGTTAGCTATGGAAAAAATAAGTAATATGCATTATTAACATGGTACTAAACAAGAGAGCATATATTTAAATATGAATAGATGTATATATTTAAATACCCTCATATATATATATATATATACACTTTTATAAATGTTTGACTATAATTTCATTCAGATAATTTGGTTAGATTTGCCTTATGTCTGTGCTTCATGCTGAGTGAAGAGTGTTAAAATCTAACAGAAAGAATAAATGTCACAAGAGAAAATTTATGCAGACACTCTCAATTTTCTATTTTTAAGAGATTATTTAAATGCTTGTGAGCAAAGTGTCAACTTTTATGAGAATTATTTTTTGTCTGTTTTTATTTCAGGCTAAAGAAATAATCCTGGCTAAGCAAAAAGTTTCAGCTTCAGTTAAACATTCTGACTGCAATACACTGCAAAAAAATGCAAGAAGGTAATTCCTTTTTTTCTTCCACATTTGTTTTGTTTTTGTCGGTGTGTTATTCACATGCCAGAAAATGTGCTTCTTATTATGTTATTGCTGAAAATATGAAAACATTGATTTGTGTAGAGTAAAACTATTTCTATAAGCTTTAGACTAATAGCCTGTCTGATGCTGTTTATAGTGATCTCCTCCAATAGCAGAGCCAAAAAAGCACTTCTGCCCATCAGTTTTGTACCATCAGCTCATTCAGATTATTAACTGGTATATACTAAAACTAAATCACCTACTGAGAATGGGCTCTGCAGAGCTCCTTGCTATGGAACCCAAGTCTGAAAACCTTTTAGAAAGCAATGATTTCGAACCTCTGTCGAGAATGTATTTTCTCACTGATATGCAGGTTGAGCTACTGTGCAAGTAAATAGGTTCAGAAGGCAATTCTGCAAGGGTTTATAACATAGATCCATCCTGTTAAATGTGGTGTAAACTGCAGCTCTTGAAATCTTCCAGTTAGTGACTGCCAGAAGCAAGTATCCATGATGCAGGATTTTTTGGTTTTACCCTTAGCAAGTCTTAATGTAGATAGACACCAGGGTTGATGGACACTTGGCCTAAGTAAAAATACTATGATATCTCTTTTAATCCTTCCTTTTCCTCTTGCTATAGCCAATGGTATTTATAACAGAATAAGATAAGATAACAACAGAGTTTGTTAAGTTGTTTATCTGTTTGTATTTGAAATGTTGCACTTGTTTCCTTGTTTGATTTCATTGTGGTGAATGTTGACAAAAAGACTAAGCAGATAGTAAAAAAAATGTTGCTTGTTATTTCTAATAAAAATCAGTCATTAACTTCTTTTCTTGAATAACCTACATGATGAGAAGATAGGACTGCACCCTGTCTTGTCAGTAGTCATCACAACAGTGCATCATCTTGATTACTGAGTATTTCAAAAATTTTTAGGAGGTCCAGTCTAAATGGTGGATTCTTACTCTCCATTATATTTGTGAAGTCATGACAGTCAGGGGAAGTCCCTGGTGACTGGAAAAATGGAAAGATTGCACCCATTTTTAAAAAAGGGAGGAAAAAAAGAGGACACTAGGGACTAGTTACCTGTCAGCCTCACCTTTGAAATTTCTGCTTTGTCTGGGAAGATCATAGAACAGATCCTCCTAGAAGCTGTGTTAAGGCATGTGGAGGACAGGGGGCTGATTCAGGACAGTCAGCACAGCTTCCCCAAGGGCAAGTCCTGCCTGACCAACCGAGGGGCCTTCTATGATGGAGTGACCACATCAGTGAACAAGGGAAGGGCTATGGATGTCATCTATCTGGACTTCTGTAAAGCCTTTGACACAGTCCCCCATAACATCCTTCTCTGTGAATTGGAGAGAGATGGATTTGATGGATGGACTGCTTCAGTGGATGAGGAATTGGTAGCATGGTTGCATCTAGAGGGGAGTAGGCAATGACTCAATGTCTGGAGGCAGATCAGTGATAAGTGGTGTCCCTCAGGGGACAGTGACATAGACAGTGGAACCAAGTGCACCCTCAGCAGGTTTGCCAGTGACACCAAGCTGGGTGGTGCAGTTGACAGACCTGAAGGACAGGATGCCATCCAGAGGGACCTGGACAAGCTTGAGAAGTTGGCCCATGTGAATGTCCTAAGACAAAAGACCAAATGCAAGGTGCTGCACCTGGGTCAGGGCAACCCCTGGTATAAATAAAGGCTGGGGAAAGAAGGGATTGAGAGAAGCCCTGAGAAGTACTTGGGGATACTTGTGCATGGAAAACTGGACATGAGCTGGCAATGTGCACTTGCATCCAGAAAGCCAGTTTTATCCTGGGCTGCATCCAAAGCAGTGTGGCCAGCAGGTCGAGGGAGGGAATTCTCCCTCTCTACTCCACTCTGATGAAATCTCACCTGGAGTACTCCATCCAGCTCTGGGGTCCTCAGTACAGGAAAGGCATGGACCTGCTGGAGCCAGTCCAGAAGAGGGCCACAAAAGTCATCAGAGGGCTGGGGCACCTCTCCTTTGAGGAAAGGCTGGGTTCTTTAGTCTGGAAAAGATAAGGCTCCAGGGAGCAGCCTTGCATAATAAAGAGGATCTTATAAGAAAGATGGGGACAGATTTTTTAATAGGGCTTGTAGCGATAGGACAAGGGGTAATTGTTTTAAAGTAAAAGAGGAGAAAGATATAAGAAAGAAATTTTTTATTATGAGGATTGCCCAGAGAGGTGGGGGATGCACCATCCCTGTAACCATTAAAGATCAGGTTGAGCAACCTGATCTAGTTGAGGATGTCCTTGCTCATTGCAGGGGTGTTGGATTTCAGTGCAGTTTTAAGTAATTATGAATATGCTTCCTGCAGATTTTGAGGGTTAAAATATTACAGGAATATATATCGCAAAAGTAGAAGTAGGAAAAGAATCTCTGAATTACAGCTCTTTCTAAAAATAGTAAGTTTTGACCTCTTTAGCTGAAAAGTCGCTGAGTAGCCAGATGTTAAAAAATTTGCTGAATAGTTGTCTCTTAGATTACAGAACATTCATTACAGTGATTACACTTGACAGCTACAGATGTCTTAGCTGAATGCTGTCAGACATATAATCTGCTAAACTGTAATGTAGTGCTTTAAATCTCTTTAACTCTTGTTAGCTAGATTACATGATGATACTGTCATTACTTCTGCCACATATGAGGGATTTCTTGTGTGACTGTATACAGAACTGTATTTCAAACCTTCAGAGAGGCAAGTGTCTGTGAAAAGAATTTGACAGACTGATTTATTACACTTACAAAGCCTCTATTAATGTAGCTCATTATGCCAGTCCTTACTGGAACTGGCCTCACAGTTCAGCTGTGAGGTACTGAAGTTGAGTTCTCCACAGCTGCATGGAACTGACATTTCTGAATAATACTGGAAATTTTAAGAGTAACAGTTACATAAAGTCAATAATCCTTGTCTCAGCTTTAGACTATGCTTCCTTTAGCATATTGGAAAAGAAAAAAAATGGAATAAAACTCAAAATGTCTCTAAATGTAAATATACACACACTTGAATTCCTCCAGTAAAGAAAGATATATAAGAATATAACTCTTTTTTCTTTGTTTTTTTGGGGTTTGTTGGGTTTGTTTGTTTGTTTGTTTTTTGTTTCGGTTTGGTTTTTTTACTGTAGATCTTAATATATGGAAGTTGAGAAATGCAGCCAGAGAATGGATTAATTTGAAGAGGCAAAGGAATAGAGTGGCAATTTCTGCTTCACAAAGCATAATTAAAAACTGGTCAGCAAGTTTTGATCTATACACATCTTGTATAATGTAATAAGGAATGTAAGGTAAAGGTAATTTCTATTTGTGTAGTTCAGGCATTGCAAATCTGGCTGCCTACTCAAAGTGTCTTTTTCCTCTTAGCTAAGCAGGAGTGCACTGGATGACTAAGCCAGCAGGAGCTGTCGGAAATATTGTGCAATGCATTAGGTTGGAAATCTGACTTGGGTTCTAATGAAATCAGTTCTTGGTGGCAGTATGTAATGTGTGCCTTTTTGCAGAGTTTTTGTTTTGATGGGTTGTTTGGTTGGTTTGTTGGTTTGATTTGGTTCTTTGTCTGGATTCTTAAGGGGAAAAAACCAAAAAATATACTGCTGGAATATCCACTCTGTCTGTTGGAACACCCATAAATGCCTTTGAACAGTTTCAACCAAATTTCACTAATTGTGAGAGACATAAAATATATAAAATTGCCTCTTAAGTTATGTTGAACTTGGGACCAGGAAAACTTGAATGTTTTTAATCACTGTATTGGCTTTTAATTCTAACCTTTTTCTAGCAAGCATATCATGATAAGAGTCATTGGCAAAACTTCCTTTATGGTTTGTAGTTTCGTGGTGATAAACAAGCATTACTTTACTTTCCTTGGAGAAGATTTTAGTTTTAGTTGAGCTTTTTTTCATTTATTAACGAGTAAAGAATAAAAGACTGATTCTTTCAAAAACTCTCTACAGTTGCCTCACTTGAGATGTAACAGTGTTGCTGAAGATGAGACATACTGAGATGTAGTGTTTGCCGTCGTTAAGTACCTGGGAGTAGATCACAAATCTTGAGAGTTGAATAGATTTGCAGAATTAATATTTTCTGGTTACAAAGTTTGCTATCTGTCATGAAGACACTGAGAACTTCTAGAATGTCTGGGAAAGGAGGAATCATAGGAACTGTAATTCAATTGACTATTTAACCAGCATGTAGAGTCAGGTATGACTAAGCAACATATTACAAAGGCTTTTTACTCAAATTAACCTTTACGTATGGACTCATTTACATTCTCATGGAGGCATGGAGTAGAGGATATACACCTCTATCATTTGACTAATGAGGAGAACAAAAGGTGGGGTGCCTCAGAAGTGATTTGAAAATTAATTTTCGCACACAGGCCTCTGATAATCCCTAACTGTAATAAGGGCAAGGAGACTTCAGAAACGTGCCCTTCTGGAGAAAAGCATTCTCAAAGACACTGTTCAGTAAGGTCTTGGTCACTACAATCTGAAGTTATCTCCAGTTGTGTATACGTGACAAGGACAAAAGACTGAGGGCAGAGATGAACTTTAAAGTCATGTTCTAAAATTCCATAACTTTGTAGACGACTTTGTTAGAATAAAATTTTGTGTCACTATAAGCTTCCCTAATGTTTAACACACTAGGGACTCGACTTTGGCTGTCAAATTGAACAGTTAAAGGGGTGAAAATAAGATGATATTACAGCTACATGTAAAAATTCAGAGTCAATTTGCACATTGCAGGTATTGGAACATATTTCTTGCTAACAGACAAGGTCAGTTTATTTAGTATCTTGAAGTGATTATGCATAAGAAGGTAAGGGATGGAACAGTGAAGTTTAAAATGTCACAGTGATTATGATTTTCTGTCTAACTTTTAGAAACTTGGACTTTGTTATTATATACGGTCTCAGTCTGATGAATCCTATTTGTGAGATGTATTTGTCTTTTAGAACAGAATGACCCAGACGTCATCAGCCTTTCATTTATCAGAACTGCTCACCAGAGATTTGTTAGTTCCTCTTGGTTGTAGTTTAGTCCCTGAAAAACGAATTTGATTCTACCAGTATTTATATTTTTCCAATGATCCACTCAGTCTGAAGACTCTAGTTATGGTTTCATTTCTCTATGTAGAGAGATTTGAAAGGCCTCTTAATACAATGAAAGAGGTATTACCATAATTATTTGCTTAGATTACCTAGTAGATTTTTCTAAGTCTGTATTTTCAAAAGTTGAGACGGGAGTATGGTAAAAGTCAGACATTTGCCATCAGTTTTTGACATACATAAATAAAGATTTGTCTCTCTCTAAGCTCTCAAATAAGATATTCGATATAACAGAATCATTCTGTTTTCTTATTCAAGAAAAGAATTTATTAGTATTTTTCTAAGATGATATTATTTTTATGCTGTTTCATTCATAATGTTAGAAGACTGGAAAAAGTGCCTCTTCAAAGCAGTTGGTTGTGACTTGTAAATATCTTTGGATATCCTGGTGCCAGAAACAAAACTTTCAATTAAATCTCAATGATTGTATATTCTGGATTAAACATATGAGAAATCTTTAGCAACTTAAATTTTATTGAAATTCAGAAGTTGAAGCAGGGGAATGTAACTGTCAAATCATTAAAGTATCAAATATGTGCATTAAGAACTGTGTGAACAAAAAGTGTAAATTATCAAGAAATACCGAATTATCAGATATGTGCTCTGTCACACACCAGATTGTTCAGCAGGCTGCTATAGTTATGCAAAATGGAGGCACTAACTTTCTTTATTGTGGTCTTCTCATTTTAACTTTAAAAGCATTATCAAACTGTGTGGAGTTAGAAATAGCCTCTCAAAGGAACATAAATACCAGGAAAAAAGAAAGGATTTAATCCAGTATTATTTATTTTTGTATGGTGCTCTAGTCTTTAGACCATAATTTTTTGAGTAGAGAACATTCAACAGCAGGTAGTAGTGCCAAAAACTGGGACGATCTTCTTTTAAACCTGAATTTAAAGTAATTTGGAAACACTGAGATTTTCAAATCTGTGCTGTGGCTGGTCCTGCAAGGAATATCACAGTTGTCTTACCATTGCTCATGGAAGAGCTTCAGAATGAAGATGATTTTATTTCTGCTAGGTAGAATTACATGGAAAACCCCCTCATTCTTTCTTCCAAAAATGTTCAGGTGGGTTAGTCTTGATGTCATCAATACCCAGGCTCTTTTTGCATGGATTGCACAATGAGAGGAGCAGATTCTCAGCAGATACTGTGCTGTAGCTGCACTGACTTCAGCATAACCGAGTCTTGTTGTTGGCCAAAGCTGTACCATGGTAGTTGTGATCCCACTCTGAAGCTTTACTAAACAAGTATAGAATGTTTGATCATGTTCATGTAAGTATGTAAAAATCCACTTCCTTTCTGGAAAAAAATCACATCTGCTTGATACTCAGTCTTACCTGGCGTCTATTGCTAAGACGCTTCCAGGTTACGTGTTGATGGAATTTTGAGAATGGCTGATGTATATAATCCTTTCACAGCTTGTTGATGTGGATTGTTACTTATGAAACTACTGTTAATTCATTTCTGGTATACTGAAGTTTATTCTGCTACTAAACAAACTACTCAAACTCCACAGAGTTTGTTGTATTTGAATGACTAACAATTTGTACAATTTTAGAGCTGCTCAATAAATGAGAAATACCACTGCTAATTAAAATACTTCTAATCAAGGAAATTCTTTTCTAATGTGATGGAAACAAACACTGAGCCTAATTTCTTTTCATATTTATGATTTTTCAGCTTTTTCTGTGGTGCTTCAGATTAGTGGTTAATGATTAGATTAAGATTCTGGACAGGGTCTGCTCTCTTTGCCATCTCACCAACAGCTACTGAAAAAGTGATTGCAGGTCACAGCACATTTCATAAATTACACAGGAAGCAAAAATGTCTGTTAATTTTTGGAGATGAACATTTTCCAGAATGTTGCCACAAATAGAATCCATTTTTATTTCATTAAATAGCATAGTGTAATATATGGAAAAAATCTAGTCTTATAAATAGAAGAACATTCAGGGTAAAGAAATAAGACTTTTCTTGTATTTGTTTTCATTACTCATAAAATTCTACTCTGAGTGGTTTTTGCTTATGCCACTATTTGGAAAAGGTTTATCCAGGTTATTAAAGCAGGCTGCTTCTCTGGTTGTTTTCCCCTCAGCAAAATGATCAATTGATTCCTGTAGTATAAGAGAAATCCAGTGGCATAGGGCTGAGAGGTGGTTGGGCTGGGGACTGCCTCTTCTTTCGTCATGCTGTCCTCTGCACAGCATAGGAGGAAGCCTCCCATGAACTCTTTTGCTTCTTCACTGGGACAGAGATCCTGCACACAGACGTGGGCTGGGATGTTTGCTAAGATCTGACAGAGCCTTGATGAAGAAGCACTGGCAGAATTTGGAAACTGCTTGGGAGAACTCTCCCTGTTTTAACAACTAAAGATGGTGTATTTTCAGTTAAAAATCTTTTAATATACTTTATTTACATGTTTTCATCATCTGTGTTGTGATCCCAGAAGTGCATTCTCTCATACAGTGACTTTGCCTCTTTTCTGTTTGTTCTAGTTCTGATCTCCTGGGTACACACATAGTTTTCTCACATCTGTCTTGTGCCATACTGAGCTTGGAACTGTGACCCAAAGTACCACTCAGTATACAATGGAGTAGGAAGATGTACAAATCATGTTGTAATTGGAAGAAATTAAACAACATTGTACTATTAAATTTCCATTTTGCTATTTTTCATGTAAACACAAATTGCATGAAAGCAAGCTAGATTTTTTTCATTTAATCATTGAGCTTCTCTATTAGAAAAGAACAATGAGATTAAATGCTGAAATACAGAGAGTATATTTCAAATCTTTGATCATCATGTGATGTGTGTAAGTTGCCTTAATGAGTGGCCTGTACACATTTCTAAGTGTAATCTAAAGGAGTATCCTTAATAGCAGTAGAATCTGAAAATTTTGTTAAAACTCTAACCTTTCCTATAAATTTTTTTTCATAGTACAAACATGGTGAGGATTGACGTTGCCAAAACATAAAAATTAGATGATCAAATCAAAAAGTTTATGCAATTTTGTTTTCTCTCTAAATAAAAGTATTTCTGTTTTCCAAAGATGAATCTGTCACATAAAAATTAATAGACAGCCAGTGTGTTAAAAATGAACAGAAAAAAAATTAAAAAACAATTAGATTAAGAAAATGTTCTTATATTAAAAGCCAACCATTTTTAGTGTGATACCAGCAGTCACCACGTTCTGATATAAAACAAATCACACATATGAAAAATTACATTTTGATGTTCATAGACTAAAGATTCTTTTCTACAAAATCTTAGAGATTTTGTAGTACTTTTCTGGGTTTACGCTGAGGTTTTTTATAGTAATGAATTTTCAAGTTACAAGAACTCTTAATCCTGGTTTAATTGGACTTAGTAACAACCCTCACACTAAAGTCAATCTTTTTATAAACAGGCACTCAAAATAGAATCATGGAATCATAGAATAAAGTCAAATAGTTCTCTTCTATTTGACACTGAAATTAAGTTTTTTTCCATTTGTTTCCCTCTTGTTTCAGGAGTGGAAAAGTTGAGAAGTTAGAAGTGGATCCTAGTAAATATTCATTCCCTGATGTGACAAAGATAATCCAAGAAAAGGAACGAACTGGACAGGGACCTATAAAGCTACATCCAGAGAGGATTACAGAAGCTAAGAAGAGTTGTGTTGATTTTGAAAATGATGAAGATGTTCCTCCCTTAATTTGAAACATTCTTAAACAGTCCCTCTATAATACGTCCTTAAACAGTCCCTCTCTCTCTCTCCATATATATGTGCAGTATGTATGCTTGAGTTGGTTTTGGAACCCTATGTGTAAAGCAAATATAATAGAGCTGGAGCTGGAAATATCGTTACATTTCTTATCAATAACTTTTTTATGCTTGTGTTTTTTGCTGAATTTTCTGTTAGTATATTGCTATATAAATTCATTTTTCTACATTGTTTACTTAGTGTGAAATCAGAATGGGAGTCATATATCAGAGATTGTAATTTCTTCAAAGAATTTACTGTCTGGGTTGAAAGATGATATATCATTGTAGAAAAAGAGACAAGGAAGGAAGAAAGCACTTGTAACCAGATTTATGATTATTCTTATTAAACTAAGGATAGAAAAAATCTCTATGCATTCCTTCAGTGTTTTCATTTTCATGAAGGACAACAGTAGAAGGAAATAAGGCATTAGGAGAGCGAGGGACATTGCTGTAATCTACCATACATCAGTGGATTTTCCTGCATAATGCACAGCTCCTGGATTCTGGAGCTGGTTTAACAATGCCACTCCATGAAGATTTTGGGAGAGAATAAAGAGAAACTTCAAGCAAAAAGTGACCTACATTACCTTGCTAATGCTCTTGAAATTGTTTCTTTGTAAAGGAAGACTTCATTTGGTTCTGCAGAAAGAAAATGCTTCAGATTTAAATCAGCTTTTGCTTCTAGTCAAATGGGATAGGGCAGGCAAATTTAAGTCAGGAAGTATCGACCCGCATTATCTGGTTAGAACTTGTTTTCATCCATAAGATAGAAAATTAATAAGTTGCAATTATAACTGAACCACTAAAACTCCACTTATAGTGTTTAAGTAGCAGTCTAGATTCAGATAGTGCCCATAATACCCTCAGCACATAGTCAAGTTCATGACACATTCTTTAAAAGTGCTGTATCCTTAATTGTGAAAAACATCATGCAAAAAAACTCAGCAGTTTGAATGAAAATATTGGTATTGAATTCTGGGAATTTTTAGCCACTCTAAAGTGCTTTATGATTCTTCACAGATGTTTAATGAAAGATAAAGATAAATAGTCTATCTTAAAGTGCACTGAAGAGAAGCAGAATATACCCATCAACTCAGGCTGATGGCTTGAACTGATGCATTTTCTTTGGTTGCAATTTGAAATGGATATAGGATTAAAAAAATGAAGTTTCATACTAATGCTGCCTATACTGAGTGCTGAAAAGAAAGTTTATGTATTACAAAGACATAGACCAAAGTGGAATTTGGGCATCATCTGATGTACTGGCATATCATCTCTGATTTTTCTTATGAACTGACTCAATTTTTCCAGTTCGAGAATACATTATTCCATGATACAAGCCTCTCGGCCCTGAAATCTATTTAATTAGCTCTGCTCTGGTTAATGGAGTATAAAAACATCAACTGCTTTTGCAATATGTCCCTATTCGCTATAAATGCCTAATTGTGCCGAGGGGGAGGAGCCAAGGAGGGAGCTGCAGCAGAGGCACCCTGAGGGGAGCTGGAGCAGGAGGAGGAGGGCAGGGGGGAGCTGCAGGTCCTGGGTGGGGGTCACCCCCTGGCAGCCCCAGGAAGACTTCACTGTAGCAGAGACCACCCTGAAGCCTGGAGGGTCCTAAAAGTTGGTGCTATTTTATGTAACTGTGCAGCCCTAGTAGGGAAACAGGCAACAGACAATGTAATTTTTACCAATCAGATGGGCAATTCATGTTCTTGTTCTTTTTGAGTCTACTTCCTTTTATTTTGTGTGGGAGTATGAATATTGCTGACCTTTTATCCTCCCTGTTTGAGGATAAAAACCAGTAGATTTTGGCAGCACATCCAAGAATTTGTCTCCTGTAGTTTCATTGATTGCTGTGGGGATTTTCTGAAGTTTCTAAGAGTTGAACCCATTGCAGGCTTCTCTCTTTTTCTTCATTGCTTATTTCTGAAAATCATGTAGGGACAATCCACCTTTCAGACCTTCTGCCAATTTGGATGAACCTGTCAAGAGTTTCAGAAGGTTGTAGAAAACAGGCATCTGGTCACGTATGATTATTTTATTTTTTTCATAAGCAAAGAGCTCTAAAAATTGATCCTTTTTGCCAAACCAAAGGATAACACAACTGGATCTTTCCCCATTCCAACTCAGATCTCTTTTTCATCTAGATTCTAGTGAATATTTTGCTGTTTTGGGAAAAAAACAAACAAAAAACTGCATTGAGCTACAATTACACCCCATAGGAGAATTAATAGCAGATACCAAAATATACTTGGAACTACTGAAGAAAGAGTTCTTTCATATGGTACCATAATTTTGAGTCCAGTCTGAAAATGGAGTGTATTCTAAGAATCAGCTTCAACAAAACTCTCAGAGTGTGTGTATGGGCCAGGGAGAACATGAACAGAGGTTGATCACGGAGAAATGAAGTGCATAAACACAAGATAACACCAGTGGCCCACAAGAGCATAAACACACCTCACAAAGTATCAATTACTGATCACTAAGGTAATGCAGCTTTGAGAAAAGAAAGCAAGAGGAGAAAGGACATGTGGCCAATGTATATAAAATATCCCCTGTACAGTGAAAATGCAAAGAGGATAACAAAAGGAATAAAAGATAGTCACGGCCCTCACCAGGAAAAGGAAGAGCAAAGAAGGAAACTCCGACATCGTCTCCACCAGTTGAGGACGTGGCAGCTGATCAAATCCATTGTGCATCTGCAGCATGATGCTCCTACTTAGAGCAGGCAACAAAGAGCTGCTTTTTGACTTGCCACTTGCCTCATTCTGCCACTGCAGACTCAGCAGTTGAATGTACAGCATTATCTCTTACTATGTAATTGGGTTAAGTAGATTAAAATTTCAGACAGCACGGAGTGTGTGTTGTGATATTTCACCTCTAACAAGATGACTGGATGAATTTTAGCAGTATGCAGTGGACGGAACTATTCATCATTCATTAGACAGAGGATGGATGGGGTTAATGACAAATTCTAGCAGTATTAAGAGGAAAGATCTGTAATGGTTCAGGAGTGCCCTTGGATTTCTGCAAAATCTTACTCTTGTTCTATAACTGGGATGGGATTTGCAGTCAGAACAAGAGGGTTTTGTTGATGCACAAAACAGAAGGTGTCCAGTTCCCTCCAGCACTAAATTGATTCATCTTGGTCAAAAAAAAGCCAAAGCAGAAGTGAATTTGTTACACTATGACAGGGTAGAGCTATCCTGCACTTACAATTACAGCTGTATTGTAGAGCAACATGCAATAAAATAGCAAAGCTTGGTTCAAAACTGCCTTTTGTCTTACAGTCTTAGATGTATTTGTGAATATACTCAGTATGGGTAACAGCATTGGACATGCAAAATGTGCTTTCCCACTGCATGTTTCAACTGATAATTGCCATAGGGGGAAGCTGAAGGGGAAGCTGGTGAGTTGCAGATAACATTTCTTCCTGGTTAATGAATACTGAAAGAAAGCTGCAGGGTGGCCCGAGCATTAAGCCTTTTTCTGGACAATTGCTAAAGACCAGGTGTTTGCTGTCAGAGCTAGACTGGGTAACTAACTTCACCCAAAAAAACCAGCATCCCAGAATGTTCAGAGTTGGAAGGGGCCTGTGGTGGTCATCTTGTCCAACTTGCCTGCTCAAACCTAGAGCCAGTTGCCCTGGCCCATGTCCAGATGGCTTTGGAATATCTCCAGAGATGGAGAATTCACAGCCTCTCTGGGTGATCTGTGCAGGCACTCGGTCACCCTCACAGTAAGAAAGTGTTTCCTGGTATTTAGGGAGAATCTCCTGTGTTTCAATCTGTGCCCACCATCTCTGGTCCTGTCACTGGGCACCACCTATTTATTGTTTAATTGTAAATTATTTGTGAATAAATGTATTTCTTCTGTTACAGAGTCATCTGTAGCATGCTGAAGCTTATTGTTCTCATTTGCAGCACTTAAACAATACTGACAGAATCCAGCTGTCTCCTTCCACCTCTGATACAACCAGGCAGACTAAAAGCTCAATGAAGCTGAAATCTGAGAAAACAGCATCTAAAATAACAAGGACAAAAGGTATGACATAATTTAGAAAACACAGCTTACTCTGAAACTGACAGTTCATGTTTTACTTTTTAAAAAGCAGAAATGATCAAATAGATTATTAGTGGCAGAAGTGCCGCTGTTTGTTGCACAGTTGTGCACTGAAACTATGATAATCAACTGGGATCTCTCTGAGGCAGGTTCTGTACAAATTGTTCCCCCATCAAACCTGTCACAGTTAAAACACTAAGAAAACCACATCAGGCCTCGGGACTGTTAACTGTATCGCTTTCCAAACCACCATGGATTAGCTGAACTAGTTATAAAACGTTTAGACATTAGAAGGAACAGGGAAGCAAGGGAAATAATGTCCCCCATTAACCCAACCGTTGGAGATGTTACTTTGTCCCTTGTTTCCTTTAATATAAAGCAAGGTAGAAAGTCTGGGCATAGTCTCTTCTGCCTTACAAGCCCTTCCTATAGGCAACAGCCACGACCCCCTGCCACAGAACAGGCTCTAACACAAAGCTTAAAAGAGAGCCACACATTGGTTTAAGAAACTACTCTACAGCTCCTCCATAGGGAAGCCCTGATGTGATGGGAATTGGCCAGCGATTGAAAGTCAAAAGCCCATTTCCTTAGGGAGATGGTGTAGTACAGAACCAGCCCTCTGCTTTGTCTGGATGTTGGCATAATAAATAGTTTGCCCTTGGATGACTTCAGATCTGCACGGTGGCAATTTTTCCATATGGGGCACTGTGTGGAAGCATCTCAACCTATAAGGGACTCTTCTCATATTTAACAAAAGCATTGGAAAATCATGATAACCAAGTCCACGCTGGGAGTTGTACTGCTGATACTGGAAATACAGCTTTCAGTGTGGTACAGCCTGAGTGTCTGGGGGAAAAAAGTCTCAGAAGTTATAGCATGTATCATATGAACAGAAGCACTTAAAAGCTCCACAGCTCTAAACTCTAAGCATCTTTCTCCTCAGAAACTTCACGGGAAATATGTATATAGAAGAGTTGACTGGTGAACATTTGGCTAGAAAGATGTGAGCTGTGGCTGTGCTTTGACCCTTGTTGTTGTGCTCTCAGTGCTAACCATCTGCAAGTCTACCAGCAGCATAATTATGCCTGTTTGACAGTGTACATAAATTAGTGTTGGCTCTTCTGGTTTTGCAACAAGGCAGGCAGCCATCTGACTTTTTAATTAAGGATTTAACTGAGATTGATAATAAAGTTCCAATATGCTTCCATATTTAAATGAAAGTGCATCAGCAGTATAAAATTTTCAAAGGGAAAACATCCATGGAGATTTATCAGTCACCTGTGAAGCATAGCTGAAGTGAAG